AGAACTTTGCACATATGTGCGGCAGTTCAAGTCGCCACACTCCATGTAGCACACAAAGCAAGAGAAGAAAGTAGAAGAAATGCATAATATAGACAGTAAACAGGGGTGTGAGACAAAGGAATAGTAATAATGGAGAACAAAACAGTTTCATTGGAAATCATAAGTCACAAGGAGTGGTGATAATTATAGTTGCCAACACACTTCTATAAGCACACAAGACTCTCCTGATACTTGATGATTTCTGCTCATGAGTGAGTGACTTGTTATTGGAGAAGAGTCCAGTCGATGTATAGAGGAAGAAGAGGAAATAGCCACTTTAGTATGACAACTCTGTTAAAATGCAGTGATTCTGTAGGACTAGCTTGCACTGACTTATATTTCAAGGATAAGAAGTCATTGATTGCTGACGAAATTCCATGGAGTCTTCAACTACTACTTTCATCCAATTAGCAACGAGGTTTTGAGTGGTTAAATTGATTCCTTGGGATGCTATGAATTATTGGATGGAGATTGTTGGTGGCATGCCTTGAAGTTTGTTCCCAATTGTGCTGCATACATTATTCACTCCTGTATGGTTCCATTAGGGATAAAATTTTATTTTGATAAAGTTACACAGTGTGTTATAGAGTAATATTTACTGATGACCATACTATTCGAACACAATTTATTACTGCTCATAATCATCATATCAAGGCAATACTCACATAACTTTCTTCCTTCGTAGTTTATATACATGAGTAAAAATTGATTAGTCATGAATAAGATAAAGTACATTCGGAATAAATATTAGTGGTATCAATCAAATACAATAAGATGCTTTTTACAGTAAAAATAAGCAACTTGCTAAAGTGTTATAATGTGAATTAAAATACATTTTAACATTATTTATTATCCTTTGATTTGACTGACTGGTGGTAATAATATCTTCCATATTTCTGGTATTAGCGTTGAGTTACTTTTATTGCACATGTGTTGGGCGTAGACTCGATAAACCAGGATTCAGTAATCAACCTCTATCTCTCTCCACCTACCTACATTACTTTTTAGAATTTTGACTCTGTCCTACCCTATTGCGTGGTTGTATGTTAATGCGTGCAGTGCGATTGCTGAGCTTTTTTCTAAATTACTTATCTTCTCTGGGTCAACCATTCTTACCTTAGCTAAATTCTTATGTTCTGACAATCTGACTACTCCTGACCTACTAGTTTGACCTATATAGTTAACCTCGCAGTCATTGCAATGTATTTTGTAAATTATATTATTTTGTCTAATTGGGTCAACCGACAGGGCCCTTTAGCCTACAGATCTTGTCCTACCTGAATGAGTTTGTAGGTTTGAATGCCACCCTAATTCCTGCTTTATTAAGAATCCTACGTAGGGCCTCAGATGTCCCTTACTTATATGGTAAAACTGTAGATGCCTTATATTCTCTCTTGTTTATGGTATCAATATTAGTTTCACCATTATTTTTATTTTGCCTCTGACGTTTTTTGATCTTCCTAATGAATTCTATAGGATAGTTAGTTATTTAACACCAATGCTTCTTCTTCTGTTTGTTTCATTTCATCGTTTAGGTCTTTTTTGTGGTACTTAGTGCTATTGCTCTGTTCGTTAGACACTTAACTAAGCCAGCCTTTACAAATAACGGATGAGATGACAATAATGTTGTTTCCGAATGTACTTTATCCTTCATAGTAGGTTGACTAACAACACTTATCTTATTACCCATCTAATTGTATTTGATTGATGACACTAATGTGTCTGTCTGTTTTCGACATAGAACGTTGCACCGATGTGCAGCAGTTCAAGTCGCCACACTGCATGTAGCACACAAAGCAAGAGAAGAAAGTAGGAGAAATGCATATTAGAGAGACAGTAAACAGAGCTGTGAGACAAAGGAATAGTAATAACGAAGAACAATATATATATATAGGAGTGGATGTATCATCGCCATTGAGAATGACGATTTTGAGCCATGTCACCAATTGTTTCCAACCACTAGTTTATTAGATAACACTAATATTAGATATCATTAGTGCGTCGGTGGCACAGCGGTTGGGACACTCGCCTACCATGCACATGGTCCGGGGTTCGATCCCCGGCCGACGCACTCCTTTACCTCGCTAAGCCAGAAATAATGCTGGCGAAGAGGAAAGGTTGGGCCTGAGGCTAGCAACCCCATCCTGTAAAATAAACACTGCTACAGAAACTTCAAGCCACTAGCTTGAAACCCTATGTTCCACTGGGGAACGTGAAGGAAAAAAAATATTAGATATCATTAGATAACACTAATATTCGTTCCGAATGTACCTTATCTTCCATTCTTTTTCGCGCAAGTCTTATATTCATTTTATTCAAATGTTTAATCAATTTTCACTCATGAATATAAGCTACGAAGCAAGAAAGTTATGTCAGTAGTACCTTGATATGATTATGAGCAGAAGTAATAAATTGTGCTCGATACGTGTGGTCATCAGTAAATATCACTGTATAACAACACCGTGTGACTTTATCAAAATGAAATTTTATCCATAATGGAGTTATACTCTACCACCACAGTGCTCAAGTTTTGTCCTTATATCAACTCTGTATGGTCTTCTTGATTCTTCATCTCTAATTATTCTTCCTTCCGTGTAAATATTCTCATTCGTTTATAAGTTTTAGTGTGTATGTGGAAGTGTGTAATGCAGACACTTACGTTGATAATTCACTTCACTTCTGAAACATACTCATTTCATCGTACAATATGGGTAAATTTTATTTTGATAGAGTCTCACAGTGTTATACAGTAATATATACTGATGACGTTTCGAGCACAATTTATTGCTCATAATCATATCAAGGTAATCACACGACTTCCTAAATTCATTTATATAGTTCCATTGTTTTTCACTTGATTTTCACTTGATTTGATTGGTAGTAGTATTTTCCATATTTCGGGTATGAGTGATGATTCATTCCTATTGCATGTGTTGGGTGTAGATTCGATGAACAAAGATTCAGTAATCAACCTCTCTCTCCACCTACCTAGATTACTTTTTAGAATTTTAACCCTTTCCCACCCTATTGTGTGGTTGTGTGTTAATGCATGCATTGCAATTGCTGAGCTTTTTTCTAAATTACTTATCTTCTCTGGGTCAACCATTCTTACCTTAGCTAAATTCTTATGTTCTGACAATCTGACTACTCCTGACCTACTAGTTTGACCTATGTAGTTGACCTCACAGTCATTGCAGGGTATTTTGTAAATTATATTATTTTGTCTAATTGGGTCCACTGGGTCCTTTAACCTACAGAGCTTGTCCTACCTGAGTGAGTTTGTAGGTTTGAATGCCACCCTAATTCCTGCTTTATTTAGAATCCTACGTAGGGTCTCAGATGTCCCCTCTTTATATGGTATAACTGTAGATGACTTATATTCTCTCTTATTTATGTTATTATTACTAGTTTCACAATTATTTCTATTTTTCTTTTGGCGTTTTTCAATCTTCCTAATGAATTTTAGAGGATAGTTATTCAATGCCAACGCCTCTTCTATCTGTTTTATTTCATTATTTAGGTCTTTTTTTGTGCTACTTAGTGCCATTGCTCGGTTTGTTAAACACTTAACTAAGCCTGCCTTAACAGTTAAAGGATGGGATGAATTAAAGTCTAAATATCTATTAGAATGCGTTGGTTTTCTATAAACACTAGTGTGTAGTTTGCCTTCTTCTATTCGTTTTATTTTACAATCTAACAGCTAATTCTCCTTGCTCATTTTCGGCTTCAAATGTGAATTTTATTCCCTCCACTAGTGAGTTTATGTGTGTCAAGAAGCTAGAGATATGTTCTGTTTTTAACACTGTGAAAGTGTCATCCACATATCTCTACCATATTTTTGGAGTAGGATTAAACGTAATACGTTTAATCCTGTAAAATAAAGCGAATAGAAGAAGGCAAACTACACACTAGTGTTTATAGAAAACCAACGCATTCTAATAGATATTTAGACTTTAATTCATCCCATCCTTTAACTGTTAAGGCAGGCTTAGTTAAGTGTTTAACAAACCGAGCAATGGCACTAAGTAGCACAAAAAAAGACCTAAATAATGAAATAAAACAGATGGAAGAGGCGTTGGTATTGAATAACTATCCTCTAAAATTCATTAGGAAGATTGAAAAACGCCAAAAGAAAAATAGAAATAATTGTGAAACTAGTAATAATAACATAAATAAGAGAGAATATAAGTCATCTACAGTTATACCATATAAAGAGGGGACATCTGAGACCCTACGTAGGATTCTAAATAAAGCAGGAATTAGGGTGGCATTCAAACCTACAAACTCACTCAGGTAGGACAAGCTCTGTAGGTTAAAGGACCCAGTGGACCCAATTAGACAAAATAATATAATTTACAAAATACCCTGCAATGACTGTGAGGTCAACTACATAGGTCAAACTAGTAGGTCAGGAGTAGTCAGATTGTCAGAACATAAGAATTTAGCTAAGGTAAGAATGGTTGACCCAGAGAAGATAAGTAATTTAGAAAAAAGCTCAGCAATTGCAATGCATGCATTAACACACAACCACACAATAGGGTGGGAAAGGGTTAAAATTCTAAAAAGTAATCTAGGTAGGTGGAGAGAGAGGTTGATTACTGAATCTTTGTTCATCGAATCTACACCCAACACATGCAATAGGAATGAATCATCACTCATACCCGAAATATGGAAAATACTACTACCAATCAAATCAAGTGAAAATCAAGTGAAAAACAATGGAACTATATAAATGAATTTAGGAAGTCGTGTGATTACCTTGATATGATTATGAGCAATAAATTGTGCTCGAAACGTCATCAGTAAATATTACTGTATAACACTGTGAGACTCTATCAAGATAAAATTTACCCATAATGGAATTACACTCTACCACAGTGCCCAAGTTTTATTCTTATATCATTTCATTGTTAATTTTTCTTTTCTTTTCACTTATCGATTGATGTATATGCATATTCAAGGTTTCAGTATGCATAAGCATCGTTATACTTCTATAGCTGATTCTCAGAAAAATTGTAATAAAGACAGGATGAAAGTGGCCGGTATAAAATATACGAAAAAATGTCCTACATCATCAACAAGTACCGAAGGTGGCAGTCATAAATCATCTATTGTCCAGTCAGAACTACAGCATCTACCAACAGATTCTTCTATGCTTACTTTGGATGAACCAGTCGATCCTGAATGGGATAATATTTTAAACGTAAGTGCATAGAGAAAGTTTTTTTAATATTTTCACTTGCTTAATAAGACACAGGGTCTCAGTTAACTTATCTTCATTCCATTTAGTTCACTACCATCACTTACAGCAGGTTCCAGAACTGCCTCACTTGGTTTGATTCTCCCTTCACATGATCTTCATGACACCATCGGACATAATCTACTGACATTTTCGGCAGCTGATGTTATTTTACTTGAAGTAATTGGAGTACGTACTCCAACCATCGGACGGTTAGCTCGTCGCTTCCAATTAATGTTCCATTTGAGGGCATGGTGTATCATATCACATGTAGGTTTCCCTCGAATATGTTTGATTCAACTCCATTTCCTTATCGACAGTCTCATCATTTCTCCTGCAATCTGAGGAGCAGCCTCACAAGCTCTAAACATTGTGTAGACATCCCATAGGCGTCACCATGGTTACGTTTGCTATTCACCGACAGAAGACGTATCAGCCGACTGACTACTAACCTACCCGAGATTGCTTTCACCAGCTAACGCACCATCCGTCTTCGAATTGATGTATCTTCCTCATTCCAGTGATTATTATTATATTATTGTTGCCTTTAGTTCCTAGAGGAACATAGGGCTTCAGCTAAACGTCTCCATTACGTTCGATTCTCCGCCAACCTTTTCACCTGGCTCCACGTTGGCCCACATGTTTTCATCTCCTCTTCGCATCATCTCCGCCTCCATGTCACCCTCGCACTGATGACCAACTCGTCGCTTCCCATTCGCGTTCCACTCGAGCGATGGCCTGCCATGTGATTTCACTTGATGGTTTGTTTTCTCAGAGTATGGCCTCCAATCCAATCGTTCCCAGACATCCCTGTTGCTGATCTTTTCTGGCCATCTGATCTTGAACAAAGTATTAGGAGAAGACAGTTGTTGATGAAGGTCTGTAGTTTGTTCGAGGTGGTCTTCGTGACGCACCAAGTCTCTGCTCCATATAGTGATACTGACTTCACATTGGAGTTGAAAATCCGGATCTTATTTTTCATGTTGAGTGCTGTTGATCTCCATACAGACTTAAGAGTAATGAAAGCTTGCTTTGCTTTATTATGGATAAGATTTTATTTTGATAAATCACACAGTGTTGTGCAGTAATATTTACTGATGACGTTTCGAGCACAAATCGTTGCTCATAATCATATCAAGGCACTACTCATACAACATTCTTGCTTCATTTATATACATGAGTAAAAATTGATGATTAGACGTTTGAATAAAATCAATATAAGATAGAGTACATACCTTGCTTTGCTGATCCTCGCTTTGATATCCTCATCAGTTCCGCTTGCAGTTGAAACGATGCTTCCCAGGTAGATGAAGGAGGTTGCTTCTTTTACATTTCTCCCATTTATGCTGATTATTGTCTGTTGTTGTAGCTGTTGCCATTACTGTTGGCCATCTTCCTCACCTACTTCTGTTTTCTCTATGTTCACCTGAAGGAATTCCTATCTACTTCATTCCAGTGAAGAATGGGCTTATTCTTTCTGTGCTATGAAGTTCTAGCAACGGAGTTGTTTTTCATGGGTTGGGTTGCCACCCCCACTCTCTTTTCCATGCTTAAAACCAGTTGCTAAACTAGACAAGGATTGTGCGATACTACATAAGGACACTCTCTGTGGTTCTGTTGCGGCTTTGCTATTATAGTTAGCATTATGATAGTAGACTGAATAACCATAATTCCTTTTGATGCCTATTTTATGAGAAGATTTTTAATACTAATTCACATAGATAAGTTGAATGATGTTCAGGCACTGATGTTTCGCCCACCTAAAGTTGAGCGATATGTAGGCGATCTGGGTGAAATTTGGGTTAACAAACATCTTCATGAATATATTACATAGATTTTATCCTGTTCACTTTGTTTCAATCGATCAGCATATAATCTCTAAGAGTATTATTTACTCTTGCGAGTATTTAAAGTATTTACAACCTTCTGATTCTCCAGTTTCCAATAAACTTGAGGTAAGCACATTTGTGGGGGAGGGTGGGCAACGTATCTCAAAACATGAGGTAATGGTTACTGAATCTCGTCGTTGGGTCTCAAAATGTACTCCTGGACTCCAGATCCAGATAGTATCACACACACAATTAATGCGGCTCATCGCTAACTACATGGAAATATTAGTGGTTATTGAGTAATGTCTCACTGTGGCGACTCGGACTGATGCACTTTTGTGCTAATTTGTGTATTAACAAGTTAGGATATCAGGTGAGATGAATGTCGATGATCCACAAGTATTATTTTATGCCGGAGTCGAACTGACTAATTGTGGGAATAATAATGATGTGAATCCATCTCTTCGTCATATTGATTCGGTGATGAGATAGGAAACCTCGCCTAGTTTATCAGCTGTGTTGGCGAACTCGGAAACGAGGGAAGGTTGTGAATGTGAGACTAGCAACCCTACCACCCCGTAAAAATAACACTACTGCTAGAGACTCAAACTTTGACTAAACACCCGGTAGTTATTCGTGTCTTGAGTCTATCAGTTAATTTTGCAGTGTGACCACCTTTCTATGTGGCTAGCCATCACGGTGAACTATGAATTGTTGGTATTAAATGTTTTGAGGCGATCGGCGTAATGCTCTGCTTGAATTAGGTTTCGTGGTTGTTGGCACCAGTCAGGAACTGACTGACAGTAAACAGAGATATAAGGCAAAAAATAGTAATATCGAAGAACAATATAGTTTTATTAAGCATTATAAGTCACAAGGAGTGGATGTATCTGAGCTAGCCATTGAGAACGACGATTTTGAGCCATATCACCAATTGTCTCCAGCCATTGGTTTGTACCGTCCCGAGGACCCCAACTAGTCAGGAAGTCTACGCCTTCCTAAAGTGGCTGGTTGGCTTAAACTAACTGTTGTGGATTTCATTGTCTGATGAAGCCATGTTTTGGTTTGACCGCCGCTAGCTGTTTTCCAACCTGATTCATCTTTTGTCAGCTGACATTGCCCGTTGTCGAGGTAGGCGATGGCTAGTCAGTCAGCAAGGCGTATCTGCAATGCTGAAGGAACTCATATCCCTTTGCAAGGCTTATTAAAGTCTTATGTCGGGATGTGTAATTACAGTTTTTTTTAAATCCCAATTATTTTCAACCTTTCACAATTTTTCACTCATTCTTCTTTGTCTTTCTGATTTCAGGGGACTTGGCCATTGTTAAGCAATTGTGCAAAACAAGGTTATGCTAAAGCTATGCTCACTTCAAATTCTAAACGATATTCAAATTCTCAGAAGAGAAAAACGTCTAATATGAAAAATAAAGACGATTCAAAATCGATAAATAATAGTAATAGCAAAGGTAACAATGATAGTAAGAATAATAATAATCGATCAATAAAATTTGTACCGTCGAAATTAGGCCACCTGTATGCAGAGAAAGAGATTCAAATCATGAATACAGATGATTGTCAGGTAAGATAGTTCTTTTTTCCAGCTAATCCTTCATTGTTTGATACATACATATAATATGTCTTTTGCTGTGGAATGCTTTCCTTCTCCGGCGTCAGTTTATTCAATGAGACGTCACTTTTCTGGTATGCTTTCTTAAGAAAATGAACTCGTCGTATTGTATTTTTGAATGAAGCAAAAATAGCAACAATGTTTTTTGCTAGATAAGATGGTACTATCGTTTATTGTTCTGTCGGCTTCTCTCTCATCAGTTGCCATCTGTAGACAAGAGACTGCAAATCAAATTCGTTCGGTTATAATCTGAACTGCCAAGAAACCGATTTCCGCGTTCTACTGTATAGCCGACAAAACACTTCGTTGAGATATGCGCTATCAGAAAACGCATCAAAGGAGGCAGGGAAAAGACGATTATTTTTCAATATTTTAACGGTTTTTCATTCCTTTTGGATACATAGCGTGGGTTTGAGCTTTTGGATAGCTAGTGCCTCGACTATGCCCAGATGTCTTAACTTTACTCTCTTTAATAGGTTTCATCGAATCTTATTTGGAAGGATTTTTTCGAATGGCGCTGAATGTCCCGAATTGATCAGATGTTCTGTCACTGATTTACATACACGTTTTCGTTCTCCTTTTACTAGCCAGGTTGGATAGTGTTCATGAGCGCGTTTTTCAAGTTGGCGCATGTTACAGCCGATGTACTCAGCTCCGCACGAGCAAGTAAACTGTTAGATGCACGTTGAAGTGGCCCAATGCGACAGCTTGTCTTTCTCGTTCTGGCTGAACAGTTTAATGCAGGAAAACGTCAGTCGTAGGCGAAACATCGCTTAGCTGTTGGTAGGACCAGGAAAGAGGAAAGGTTGGGTGTGCGGCTGGCAATCCCATCCTGTAAGAAGAAATAACACCACTGCTGCTACTGAAACTTGAAAAGCTCAAAACGTTTAGCTCTATGTTCATCTGAGAACGCAAACAAATACAATAATGAAAGAAAGTATCAGCGGTGTAAAAATGATAAGCGAGGTCCATTGTCCCACAGGTGTATGAAAGCGTATGTCGCGCTGAACTTGTTTCATCTGACTTCTTGATAAAATGAGTGTTGCATAAGTTAGGGCCTATTTCCTTCCTCGCGTCCTGAGCCGAATCTGGGTACTCTCAAAGCTCTACAAATGACCTCAAACCCTAGCTCAACCCAGCGATTTCCAAATCAGGTCGCACTCAAGAGCCTGACGTATGTTTAATCCACCTTCATATTTTCTTTTGTATGCTTGATGAAGAATAGATTGTTGACTGATTCCCCTGCTCGAAGTTCCTTATTGTGCCTTATCCTTTCTGACTGGTTACTTACTCTTCACAGTGTGGAGTCAACGGAAGTACATGCTGATGATAGTGTGGAATATTCCCATATAATGAATTAAAAGTCAATCTGAACGAAGAATATTCTTTTCAATAATTTCTCTTCAGGTTCTGACAGTTATAAAATATAATATCTGCTGTCGTTCCAGTGATAATGGCCAGTTATGCGGCGGATACATTTTTAACGTAGAACAACAGCTTAGTAAGTATAGGGTATCAAAATAAATAGTCGTATTTGTGTGACAAAAGTGCTAGGCTGAAATCGATTACAAAATATTGTAAAACGGCAGACATTGGTGGTGATTAATCATAATAGATTTGTAGTGTGGGGTAGGAAAAACTGACAAGTCCGTTCAAGGTTATAAAGGTGTCAGGTGAGTGGCTAGTACAAAGTGGTCTGTGTTAAACAAGAGATAGTAAGACTGCAATGAGAGGTTCATAATGAAATAACGAATATGTGAAATGAAACAGGTGGATGGATATATTGAGAAAAGAGATAATATCACTAATAATAAGTCCGGATAGTATAAATGAAAAATTCGATAGTATTGAAAGAATGTTTGCACGAACGGCATAATAATAATAATAATTGTAATAATAATATTTGTAATAATAAGCAAAGAGAAAAAACCAAGAGGGTTAAGGGGAAGGAGCACTCTTGGTGAGAAGAAGAATCATCAATCCAAGTTCGGCCACGGTAGGAACAGCGTCTGGACGTGTTCTTTTTGGATACAAAGTTCCGGTTTAGTCTATCTCATTGCAAAAGCTTCAGCTATGTGTAGAAGACGTAAGCGAACTGCACGTGATAACGACTTCGGAATTCGGTATATAACCGTGAAAGCTGTTAATCACCACCACTGTCTCTCATTTCGCAATATTTTGTAATCGATTTCAGCCTAGCACGACGTTTGTCACGCAAATACGACTATTTATTTTGACACACCATAACTACTAATCTGTTATTCTACGTTACAAAAAATGTATCCGCCGCATAACTGGCCATTATCACTGGAACGACAGCAGATATTATATTTTATAATTGTAAGAACCTGAAGAGGAGAAATTATTGAAAAGAATATTCTTCGTTCAGATTGACTTTTAAGTTTACATTAGACTATTGAAAATCTTTTTAATTTATTTCATTCTAATATTGTTTAGCCAGCCTATCATACACCTTCTCTTTTTTTTGTATAACCTTTCAGTCTGCAAATGTTAAGCCTAATCAGCGAATGCCTACACCGCCATGGTTGGTCAGTGATGATAACGAGTCAGTAAGAGATTCTGATGAATTCGACGAGACTGATTTGTTGTCGGATAGAGGTAAAATGAAAACTTCAACAAATGGAATGATGATGACGACAACGTATAATCAACGTCCATGTCTTGATAATTGGAAACCTGAGCTGTCAAGTGCTGCACCATTGAATGATGTAAGTTTTATTGATCTGGTTTCACAACTGCCTATAAGCTTTTATTTCCTCTTCCCACATTTTCCTTCATGTTATCCTCGGACGGCTAACTCGTCGTTTCATATTTACCTTTCATTCAAGGGCCTGGCGCATGATTTCACCTGAAAGTCTATCTCTTCTATATTGATTCCTTTCTTCATATTTGTTGGGCGACAGGTCGTTGGTTGGTTCTTGGCACTTCTGAATTCCTTCTTGCTAGCGTCTTCTGACCACCTGATCTTTAGCATGGAGCAAAAACAGCTTTTGATGAAAGTATACAGCCTGCTGGAAATAGTTTTGGTGACGCATCAATTCTCTAAAAGCCGTATAGAAGTACTGAGTATACTAACTTTAGTGTTGAGGATCTGGGTACTGTCTCTTATTTTCATTCCACAACTCGTCTAGAAATACGAGCAACAGCCACCAGCCATATAACCGGCTGGTTTTTCCACTCAGTCCCAGAAGCGCAGGGTGAACGGTATGAAAGCCACTGGAGGACTTTCAGCTTACCGGAAAATATATTGCCAGGAGGTTGATTACTTTGAATTGCACTTTTCACCTGTTACATAATATTTCTAAATTGTAGGTCAGGTGTTGTCTGAAAAATTAAGAATAAGATGATTATAATAGTAAGGACGGTGAAAGTGAAGTGAAGTGGAATTAATTCAAATGGTAAAATACAATAAAATAAACAAGGAACATTACTATGACCAAGATGAAGAAAGGCGTTTGATAAAACATTTTTGAATACATAATTCAGGTTTTTTCTCCATGTATAGCTAGAGCTTCGGCAGATTATGCATAAGTGGAACATCAAGAAAGAAACTATCCTTAGGCAAATCACAGTGCCGAAGAAGACAGTGTTTATGAGTTTGGTTTTCAAAGATGACAGTATTTCTGAAGTAATTATCTAAATGTATTAAACCGTGTTTTTATGCAGCTGAAACTTACATTTAGTATTTACCAGCAGAATCATAATTCGACACTGTGTCAGGGATAAAATATCGCTTGTGTCCACTTCTACCTCTGTGTGCCTGGTGGCATAGCGGTACAGTGCTCGTCAACCACGCAGGTGGTTCGGGGTTCGATCCCCGGCTAGCATGAGGCTAGCAACCTCATCCCGTAAAAATAAACACCATTGCTACCGAAACTTCAAGCCTCTAGCCTGAAGCCCTATTTTCTATTGGGAATGTAAAGGGATAAAAAATATGTCCACTCTATGTGCATACACTAATTCACATGCTCCTGTGGAGCTGATTACATCGGACGTTGTAAGCGTAATTTCCGTAAACGCATAACTGAACACTACCTGGCTTGGTTGATGAAAGATGAGCGTAGAACGACGAATTCTTCAATTTGCGAACAAATTCTGGAGTCAGGTCATTTTGCGCCACGTGATTTATCCTTTAAAGTTATCTAGAAGACTAAATGCAGCCACTCTAAGAGCTTACGTTTTCTCCACTTATGCATAGCTGAAGCTCTGGTTATACATCCCGGCCGAAAGCTGCTACCTTGACGTGGTGGTCGGGCTTGAATACCGCAATGACCCAACAAGCTATACTGGCTAAGACTTATATCGCTTGAGGTCGTACCATGCCAGAAAGGTTGTTTGGATAGCGGTTAGACAAAAAGCAGTTACCCAACCCAATGCTATGACTCAAAGTAAATCACAAAATATCATGCCGGATCGGTCGGGGCCCGGATTAACAACGACCGCGCTTCCTGCTGCCATGTCACAGGGCAGAAGTGATAAATATGCTACTGAGACACACCGAATGAAAAAGAAAACAAAAAAGCAGGCCGCGTGACCAGCCTCAAGCAGTTTTCCCCTGGGCTCTGCGGTCACGCAACCAACTTCCACGGTGTGGGCAGCCGGGAAGTAACAGTTGCCCTTACAATCCGAAGTGCACACGAAACCTCTCTAATCCTCACTCATCTTTGTCTCCATCTTTATCTATATTATCTTACTTTCCTCCTACTAGTGCAACTCCTCTACTTGATGGCTCTTCACTTCCTCTTCACTCTGTGTGCACTGATAACGACGGAAGCCAAAAAACCACCATCGATAGTCTGGTTATACATGGACAAAAACATAAATTATGTATTCAACAGTGTTTTGTCAAACCCCTTTCTTTACCTTGGTCATAGTAATGTTCCTTGTTTATTTTATTCTATTTTACCATTTGAATTAATTCCACTTCACTTCACTTTCACCGTCCTTACTATTATAGTCATCTTATTTTTAATTTTTCAGACAACACCTGACCCACAATTTAGAGATATGTGATAGGTGAAGAATGCAACTCACAACAATTAGTCTCCTGGTAATATATTTTTCGGTAAGCTGAAAGTCCTCCAGTAACTTTCAAACCGTTCACCATTAGCTAACCCTGCTGCTGAGACTGAGTGAAAAAAAACAGTTGGTTATATGGTCCCGTAGGATGAAAGGTCTGTCTTCTGGTGCATCACAACTTTATGAGTGAGGTCTAAGAGATCGTCTGAACCAAAAAGGCCCGAGACGTGATCAGATGTGGCTGGTAATAGTAGCCAATGGTGAATATATACTGAGATTTACCCCCCGTCCCTCATTTCGTGAAAATCTCACGTGATTTGGTAATGAACACTCCTGCTTTACTTTTGTACCCTTTGTTGTTGAGTATTGTCTATTCGTATCCCTTTATTCCGTATCTGGCATTCGTGTGGTGTTTAAATCTAAGCGCGGATCGCCGTTCGACACACTTATTACTACAGCCTGTAAATGTGTACAAAGAAGTAGGGAGGATTTTGTAACGACAGAAGACAAGGGCCGGGTAACAGATCGTTTATTGAGAAAATCAAGAGGTACTTATAGATTTTTATGTTCACTATTATTAGCGTTATTGTTAGCAGGGAAGCAACGTTTTCTGATTAGTTGTTTTCTTGCTGAAGGTTATTCTGTGATCTCTTTGTGTCCGTTTCTCAGAAAGGTAGGTCATATAACTGTGAATCATATTTGCACACCTTATGTTTGCTGTGTTTGGTTTTTGAGTTCCGCATGGTTAAGCTTTGTTATTGTTTTTTTCTTATGACCTCGATTCGGGACGTGGACATTGACGTCAGTTTTTGTCTATAATCTTGGTTAGCAGACAGTTTAATACATACCTACATCTTCTCATTCATATCACTGTACGTGGACAACTATGAATATCCAGCTACCTAACTAGATTTTTGTGAAAATCCTACAATAACGGATACCAGAGAATTCTTAGAAACCTTGTACTCAAATCAACATGCATTCAACAGACGTATAGATACAGAGCAAATATTCCATGCAATTACCTCGTATCACTGAACATCATCCTGCACGGTTAAGTAAAGGACAAACAAGATTCATTCGTATCTCTCTTTCAACACACCTTTTCACTAGTTCACTTATTTAATAATCTTTAAAAGTTTTGTAATTCATCCACTTTACCATAATATTTCTTTTTGTTCCTTTCTTGTTCTCTGTAGACCAATAAAGGTCATCGAATGTTACAAAGACTTGGATGGAAACCAGGTGATGGATTAGGACAAAATAGTGATGGTTTAATAACTCCAGTCAATTGTGTAAAGGCTGTTAAACCCTCCCAAGTAGTATGAAAATCGAGAAAAGAAAAATCTTCAAATGAGATATTTATAGTCTGTGAAAAACAAACAAACACGAAATCTACAATGTACAGTAGCTGTCTTTTATCCTCTTTGTTATTATATATTATTATTATTATCATTCCATTGCGTTCCGAGTGGAACATAGGGCTAGCTTCAACAACACATCTCCAGTTTGTTTTGTTTTCTGCCGTCCTCTTCAGCTGGCTAGCTCCACGATTGGCCAAACTGTCTCATCTCTTTCTCACACGATCTCCTCCATATCACCCTCGCACTGACGACCCACTCGTCGCTTCCCATTAGGATTCCACTCGAGGGCCTGGCGTGGGATGTTATTCGGCGGCCTTCTCAATGTATGCTTGATCCATCTCCATTTGTTAAGCAATCGGCTCTTGCCTGTTGGTTTGTTCCCAGCCAACCAGAGTTTCTTGTTGCTTATTCTTTCTGGCCGGCTGGCCATTTGATCTTCAGTATGGATCCAGCCAGCGAAGGCAGATCTGTGTTATATAACATATATACTATACATATACAGATTGTGATGAGTGATGCTATGAACTGACAGTTTAATTTGGTTAACGCTTTCTTTTTCCCCAACTGTGAAGGAGAGACCTGATCATTTCATCTCTCCTGATGCCTTTATGTATTGGCAGCATTCTGTGATGTGTTGTGCTGTGCTGTTTTTCTTCTCTTCATCTGATACTTTGCTTCATGTAGGTGGTGGTGTACAGATTTACACATTCCTTCAATTTATCGTATTGTCAGTGAACATGTAAATTTTGTCTTTGTCGTTCTTTTGTTTCTTCTGTATAATAAATAAATATTGATTTTCCTTTTTGAGTAGTTATCCTATTATTCACAATTTTTTCTATGAGGTTTGGTAGGGAGGGTGGAGGTTAGTAACAAAAGTGATGAGTAGTCACAAGCATAGTTGTTAATATTAGTCAGTGGATGCATAATTCACTGACTGACTGACTGGTTTCAGTTGACATTATGACGGTAGACTGAATAACCATAATTCCTTTTGATGCCGTATTTATGAGAAGCTTTTTAATACTAATTCACATAAATAAGTTGAGTGGTGTTCAGGCACTGATGTTTCGCCCACCTAAAGTTGAGCGAGATATGTAGGTGGTCTGGTTGAAATTTGAGTTACCAAACATCTCCATGAATATATTCCATAGATTTTCTCCTGTTCTCTTTGTTTCAATCGATCGACATATAATCTCTAGGGGTATTATTTACTCTCGCGAGTATTTAAATTATTTGCAACCTTCTGATTCTCCAGTTTCTAATAAACTTGAGGAGAAACACATTTGTAGGTAGGGGGTAGGGTGGGCAGCGTATCTCAAAACATGAGGTAATGGTTAATGAGTCATGTCTTTTGGCCTCAAAATGTACTTCTCAACTTTTTTACAGTCAGCTCTCTTCCAACCCATTGTCGTGGATTTGCAGTGTGGCCACCATTCTACGTGGCTAGCCATCACGATGCACTGTGAATTGTTGGTATTGAGTGGTTTGAGGCGATCGGAATTAAGCGCTGCTTGACTTAGGTTTCGTGGTTTTTCGTACTCACCAATCAGTCAGCAGCTGATTGACTGACCGACTGGTTTCAACATAGAACATTGCACAGATGTGCAGTAGTTCGAGTCGCCACACTCCACTTAGCACACAAACCAAGAGAAGAAGAAGAAAGTAAAAAAAAAGCAAAATAGAGACAGTAGACAGGGATATGAGATAAAAAGAATAGTAATATCGAAGAAGAATATAGTTTTATTGGATATTGTAATTCACAAGGAGTGGATGTATCTGCGCCAGCCATTGAGAACGATTTTGAGCTAGCCGTATCACCAACTGTCTCCAGCCATTAGTTTCTACGGTCCCGAAGACCCCAACTAGTCAGGAAGTCTACACCTTCCTACGCTGTTGGCTGGCTTAAACTAACTGTTGTAGATTTCATTGACTGATGAAGCCACGTTTTGGCATTAGTCAATGCGTAATTGGAGTTGAATAGGTGTATTAGAGTTACATAGTGTTAGATGAATTATCTGATGAATGAGTTGTGTTCAGGACGCACATAGAAACGAAGGAAAATATGGAGGCATGTGAGAGTACTATGGAAACACAAGAGGTCTAAGGAGTCAGGTTAACAGACAAACAAAATATCAAGTCGGTAGAGATCAACACGGTTGTTAGGATGATATTAGAAGTTGTTGAATAATTTTCTTTCATATGCATAGCGCCAGTTTTTCTAACCCAGCAGATAAATCTTCAGCAATACAAAGGAGACGGGAGCGTATTGCCTTTGGGACGTTATTCTTCACTTTATAGATTACTTTGAAGGAAGTGTTTAACAAAAGTGTAGACTAATATTTGTAAGTATGAGGTGGAATTTTGATCACATTTCATGCAACTGTGTTTATTATATTTTTTCAAGAATTTGTAGGGATTCCATTAGTTCCAGGTTAGACGACGGATTGATATCATTTAGAAAATCACTGAAAACCAGGGAGTACTGGACAGCCAGCTGTTTCATCCTAGTTTGGGATTCATTGGCAGTACGCACCCATCGGGCGGGGCTCGAATCCAGGACCTTCCGGTTACAAGGTAAGCCACTGGGACCCGATTCAATGGCTAGCTCATGAATTCTAACTTCCACCAACTCGTGATTTTAGGGTGACCGGCAACCAATGTCATCGGCGGGAACTCCATCCTCATCCACTTAACTTGTAACCGAAAGGTCCTGGTTCGAAACTCGGTGGGTGCGTACTGCCGATGAGTCCCAAACCAGGATGAAACAGCTCTTCAATACTCCGTGGTTTTCAATGGTTCTCTAACTTGTGATATTTTGATGCCTGTTTCATGACTCAAATGATTGAACAAAGTAGTTAAAAACAAGAAATGTCCTTTATTATATAAACGTTTGTTATTTTAATGTTGATTAATTCCCCTGAAGAAGTTTGGACTAGTTTGCTGAACGTTGGAACTGCTCATTTCAATTTCGTTAAGATTTCACAAATATAATTTTTACAAACATCACTGTACGGTAAAAATAAATGTGAGATTTACGAAAAATTAAATGTATATAACAGAAATATTGATTGGTCACTGAAGTGTAACCACTGTCATGCAGTGTATGTGAACCTTAGCGTTGATTGGATAATATCAAATGTTGGTTTCCAGGGATCTGATTGGTTACAGGATCGATCATGAGCTGACATCAGTTAAAGGACCATTGGAAAGTCTGAGAGTACTGGATAGCCGTCTCCTCCTAGTTAGTACGCAAAACATAGTTTAATGCAAATTTGCTTTTCTTCTAGATTACCGTTTATGGTATCAATTATTATTGTTAGTGTTGCCTTAAGTTCCTAGAGGAACATAGGACTTCAGCTGCACGTCTCCGTTGCGTTCCCTTCTCAACCTACGTTTTCACTTGGCTTCACGTCTGCAGACATGATTTTATCTCCTCTTCGCATCACCTCCTCCTACATGTCATCATCACACTGACAACCAACTCGCTGATTTCCATTTGGGTGCTACTCGAGCGATGGCGTGGCGTGTGATGTCACTCACTTGATGGTTTGTTTTCTCAGAGTATGACCAGCCAGTCCACCTCCATTTCTTCCTGCACACACTCCTGTTACACAATCGATTGCTGGTTGGTTCGTTTATTTCCAGTGATCCCTCGCTATTGCTGACCTTTTCTAACCGGTCATCTGATCTTCAGGGAAGACAGCTGCTGACAAAGGTCTGTAGTTTGTTCGAAGTGATCTTCGTGACGCGCTGGCCAAGTCTCTCATCCGTACAGTAAGTAGCACTGACTTCACACTGCAGTTGAAAATCCGGATGTTATTTCTCATGCTGAGTGCTGATCTCCTCCACACAGACTTGGGAGTCATGAAAGCTTGCCTTGCATTCCCGATCTTCGCTTTGATATCCTCATCAGTTCCGTCTGCCTGTAGTTGAAACGATGCTTCCCACATAGGTAGGCAGGTGAAGGGGGTTGATTCTTCCAAATTTCTCCTATTTATCCTGGCTGATTGTTGTTTGTTGTTGTTGCCTTTGCTATTACTGGTGGCCAGGAATCTTCATCACCTACTTCTGTTTTCTGTATGCTCACCTGAAGTCCTATCTTTGACGCTTCTTCCTCTGCTAACTTGTTGCTTTTCACTTGCATATCTTCCAGTTTGTGTGAAATCAGACATATATCATCGGTGAAATCCAGATCCTCGAAGCTTTTTGTGTGGGTCCATTTTATGTCTGTTTCCTAGTTGCCTGTTGTCTTGTGGTACCAAGCAGGTGACATATTGTGGTGATCGGAATAACTTAGTCTCCAAAGGAAACTATGGGGAAATTTCACCAGTCGAACTGTGTAAATTGTACACTGCTAGTCATTTTACGACGTGTGAATTTGATTTATCTAATTTCATCAGCAGAATCCTCAAGAAGACATTTTTGTTTGTAAGACAATCCTCAAGTTTAAATATCACCTAAATTCCAACCATGTTAAGAATCCTATACTTGATTCCCGAGGCAATATCACTGTATCAGTGTATCCCAAAATCAACCAATCGGGATCATCTTATGAACGACCAATCAGAGAAGAGAATATACCTCACTGCATAAAATATCTTCCTTCCCATCTCTGGGATACGCACGCACATACACACACAGGATATTCGTGTTATTTTCATATTTTCTAGAACTATTTATTGATTAGTTGAAAAATGGGTATTTTTATCAAGGTTATCCTTCCAGTCATCCTGATTGGTTGATTTGAAATCAAATCAAAAGATGTTTCAACAATTTTTTTGTGCATTATTTCCTACGAGTTAAAATTATAACAATCGATCAGTGTATTCAAGATGTCGGTGGATCTCAGTGTATACGTGATGATAGCAATAATTTGTGCTAACAATTTTGTATCCGGTGATGATTATTCACCGCCAAAAATGCTATGCCCAAGTGGTTATTGGCCAGCTAATGTGAATATTTCTGGTGGTCCGTACAGAACTGATCGAACTTTTGAACTGCCGTATCTTCAAGATGCTGATGAACCAATATGCCAGTTTTGTCCTAATGTTGGCTGTTTCATAGTACGTCTATCAACAGATGTGAAAGAAACGAGATCAACACAATCAGCGTCTAGCACTGCGACCACGTCTACTAGTACTACTACTACCACTACGAGTACGACTATGACTGCTACAACTGCTTCGGATACTTCCGCAGCGACTGATACATCAGGAACAACAATAACAGGAACTTCAACAGAACTACCACTCACCTCTATGCATAATGCGACAGAAATTAACAATTTAAATGAAACTCAAGAACCAGTAAATTCAACAGCCAATGATGATTCAACTGCTCATGATACATTATACATGTCATGTGATCATTGGGATCAACTCCCGTCACCATCAGATATTGTCAGTTACCTAGACTGTGTTATGATTGGTCATAGGAAGCAGTTCTATTTATTTATTTATGAACCAAGATTTGAAACAAAGCCATTACCAGCGGTGGATTGTGTAGACGCCGACTTTTTAGCCTGGATTCCAAATGGAACTGAACTGTTGGGATTGGAATTAGGCTTTCGAATGAAAAAAATACCACCATTTCTATTCCGTTATCATCAGCGTATTATGCAGGTCAGTGGGTCTATGCATATATATATATATTTATAACCAATTATTTATTGTCAAGAGTTACTTTGTACGAATCTGCTTTGTTTCAAGTTTGGTAACAGTTAGAAGACCATTGAAAACCAACAGGGAGTACTGGATAGTTAGCTGTTTCGTCCCACTGGTTTTGAACTTATTGGCAGTACGCACTTACTAGTGGCTGAATGGTCTACAAGTTAGCCTTGCAACCGGAAGGAAGGTTGTGGGTGCGCACTGAAGATGAGTCCCAAACTAGGACGAAATAACTGTCCAGTACTTCCTGATTTCCAATGGTTATCTAACTGATATCAATCCGTTAGCTGACTTGTATTTGTTTATTAATTTTTTAAGTTATAGGCTTATAGTATATTTTGATTAGACAAAAAATAATAACTAGTATCATGCGCCCAGTCCTATGTTCGGTGCAGACTGACTTCCGGCAGTGAAGTTTGAAATGTGGCCACCACGCCATCGGTAGGGAGTCCTGCTTTACCTAGGTTTTGGGGTTGTTGGTACTCACCAGTCAACATAGCGTATCTGCACTCTTGAAGGAAGTAATATCGCTTCTGAGTTTTAAAACTGGATCAGACACCTAGTGGTTCAGTGAGAGACATTATTATTATTATTCCCTTTGGTTCCAAGTGGAACAAAGGGCTTCAAAAACACATCTCCACTTTCTTCTACTTTCTGCTGTCCTCTTCAGCTACCTAGCTCTACGTCTGCCCACAATCCCCCATCTCCTCCAGCTTCCACGATCTCCTCCATGTCACCCTCACACCGATGATCCACTCGTTGCTTCACATTCTGATTCCACTCAAGCAATAGCCTGCTAAGCGCGTAATGTTACTCAATGGCCTCCTCAGCGTGTGCCCAATCAATCTCCCATATATTTCTTGAGCGATCGGTTTTTGTTGCCAGCCAGAGTTTCTTGTTACTAATTCTTACTGGCAGGCCATTTGGTTTTCAGTATGGAGCCAGCCAGAGAAGGTGGCAGCTGTTGATAAAAGTCTACAGCAGTCTGTTGGAAATCCTTTTTGTGACACACGCGCATTGCAAGTTTCTGACCCGTAAAGAAGCAGCAACTGACTGAATTCACATTTGTGTTGAAAATCTGAATCTTGTTCCTTATGCTGAAGCAGAGGGTAGGAGATTTTCAAACTGGTTTCTGGTTCCTTGCTGAAGGCGTATCTTGCCTTTCCGATTCTGGCTTGCTTTGACATCTTCATCCATTCCGCCTGTCTGTGGTTGAAACCTTGCTTCCTATATAAGTGAAGGAGGTAATCTCTGTCAAATCTCCCTCACTTCTGGTGATTGGTTCTGGTTGTTGTTGATGATTTTGGTTGGCTATCTTCATTACCTACGTGTCTTATATGTTCATCTGAAATCTGTCCTGTCGTCGCTGTCTACCTTCTCAGCCATTTTGTTGGTTTCCGCCTGTAAGTCTTCACGTTTTTGTGACATGAGACATATATCATTTGCGAAATCCAGATCTTCTACAGTCTTCTTATCGCTAGTCCAGCGTATCCCTGTCTCCTCGCTCCCCACAGACTGACGCATAATCCAGTAAACCACAATTGAGAATATCATCTGTGATAATGGCCAGTTAAGTCTTGTCTTACTCCTGTCTCCACTTCGAGCGCCTCTCCGAGTTTTATGTTGTGGACCACGTCATGGCATTATCATAAGTCAGTGACATTACCACTTAGCTATTCCAACTCGCGATTGACTTCCTGTAGGGATAGAATAGATACTTTAGCTGAACAGTTGTTAATAACTGATTTTATGAGTCTAGTCCTTCATTAGGTGAAGACTGAATCCCATTTGTCATGTTTTTTTCAATTTTGTAATGTATTCGCGTTTTAGAAGGAAGGAAGGAAATGTAGCGATGAGCCATTGTCGGTGGTTCAATAGTGGAATGCTCACCAGTCATTCCTGCTGTCTGCGGTCCAATTCCTGACAAACGCATCCCTAATCTTCGCTTAGTTTACTAGCCTGTAGAAAGCTTGAGTAAGAGGATGGTTAGGCATGAGATTAGCAACACCATTCCACTTAGAATGCAATGAGATGAACGAAATATTGTCCTCATTATTTAAAGGGTTTTAAGTCTCAGGTATAAACTGGACCAACACAAAATACTTGGTGGATCACGACTTCACCGATGATATATGTCTGATTTCACACAAACTGGAAGATGTGCAAGTGAAAAGCAACAAGTTTGTAGAGGGAAAAGTATCAAAGATGGGACATCACTTCAGGGGGACATAGAGAAAACAGAGGTGATGAAGATTCCTGGCCAACAGCAGCTGTAACAGCAACAATAACAGACAACAATCAGCCAGCTTAAATGGGAGAAATCTGAAAGAAGCAACCTCCTTCACCTACCTACCTACCTATCTGGGAAGCATCGTTTCAACTACAGGCAGACGGAACTGATGAGGACATCATCAAAGCGAGGATAAGGAAAGCAAGGCTGCTGAATCCCTATGTTCCTCTAGGAACTAAAGGAAACAATAATAATATTATAATACATTCTTGGTTGGTTTATTCGTAGCCAAAGTTTTGTGTTGCTAATTCTTTTTAGTCTTCAGTATGGACCCAGTGAAATGGGTAGCTGTCGATAAAAGTCTGCAGAGTAGCCTGTTGAAAATGCTTTTCGTGAAATGGGGCGCCAAATTTCTGACCCATATAGAATAGCGTTACTGAAAGACGAAGTTTAACTGAGAAGTGTAATTTATTTACGCAATGTAGCTGCACATATCTACTCGTTGATTTAGTTTATCGAACATGATTTAAGCAGATACGCATTTTCGGTCAATTCTCATCAGGCTTTACATTTACATAATGACATATTAGTCAGAGGCATTTGATTTAATGAGGTTAATAAAACAAAGGATCAGAGTTCAGAGATGTGAATTAATGGATAACAGCGGAGGTTATCATAATAATAATAAATAATAACAAGGATAAATTCATTCAAGTGTTTACATGATCTAGGCAATGGTGAGTGTACAGGTAGAATGAGCCTGCTAATTTGATTTGGTTACCCACAAAAGTTCATCGACAAGTATGGGAGACGTCATGTTGAAAAAGTGAAAAGCAGCACAGTAGAAAAAAAGCCTATCTTTCTGCAGCTTGCATTCAAAGGTGATGATACTGCCAGTAGAATAAGATGCAGACTGAACGCTGCCCTAAAAAGAACATGTCCAGCCGCCAAGCTTGTATGTGTTTATCAAACAACTAGTTGTTTGAGACAATCAAAAGTGGACAAATACCCACCTTATGTTACCTCCAACTGTGCCAAAGCACACACATTGGAAGAATAGAGAGAACGGTTATTGTCCGCATTTCTGAACACATACCAAAGAACCTGGGACTAAAAGGTTCGCAAGCATTAAACAGTGCGATTGCGCGTCATCTACTGGACACTGGTCATATTGTAAACAACCTGAAGTCGTTCAAAATAATCAACAAGCACAAGAAACCTAGCTTGCTACACTTTGCTGAAGCAATTGCTATCAAACGACTTAAACCAAGTTTATGTAAGCAGAAAGAGACAGTGGTGAATCTTGCACTGCCCTGGTGATAACAAAAATATACAACTTTTATGAGTCACCCTTTTTCTTGTTTAGAAAACTCTACTCTCTCTTCTAAAAATTACTCAACCTACCTTGTTCTTTTCTTTTTTTATTGGCTATTAGATAAAACATTTTCTTTCGTTACGTAATCTACTTTTTTGTTATACTCTTTCTAGCTAAACCTTATTTCTATACATATATATATATATATATGCAACTCTGTACTTGTTTCCAAGCCTAATTGTCTAATTATTGTATAAATAGTCAGTGTTTGTTACTCTTAATTAGTTAAATCATTCCGGAATAATGTTACTTTTACCTCCTACCAATTACTCCTTGTGATCGTGGAAAAGTATGTTCAAATCACTAATGTAATGTAATTTATATTTTTTATCGTTCAGGTTGTAACTAGTTGAGAAGAATCCTCGAAATAATAAAAGATGAGCTCATATTACCCTGGTACAATTGTTGTTCTTGCTTTGTTCAAGTTTATTAATGGGAAGAATTGCATGAAATTTGATTTTATTTGGATTATAGCTTGATTCCACACAGTATTTTCGGTACATGTATGAGATTTTCAGCATGTGTTATGGGTAGCCCAAATTTTGCAGGCCGACCATTCGATATCAGGTGTGCGTCGACAGGGCATCGAACCATGGACTATGTGCTTATCCGGCGAGAGTCCTAACCGCTGTGCCACCGACTCACGAAGAATGATGGACAATGAGGGGAAAATAACTATTATCACACAGCGATTAGATTGTATAATAATAATAATAAATTGTGAAACCGAGAACAAATACATCAGTTATGTGTTTTTTTCAAAAAATATATAAGTTTAAATTAGAAAGTATCAATTATATAATTAGATTAACAAATCTGTTCCTCTTGATATTTTTCCAGTCAACACAATATATCTGTATTGATGGTTCCAGTCTGACAAATAATTCTTTTCAATTTGAAGATACAGAACGATTTGCCAGTAATAAATTAACACAAGTTGTATTTCGTACTTCAACATCATTGAAAAGAGAACGTCTTCCACCGAAAGCGTTAGACAGTCATCATACAACAGAATTTCAGAGTGATGAAGAAATTCAAGCATGTCCATTTATTGTTCAACATAAACCGGCTAATATTACTCCGAATACAGATTGTCAATTTTCACCTGGAGTAAGTTGAGTATCTCCTTTTTATTTAATCAATAAAAATATTTAGGTGGTAGTTTGAGTAATTTGATTGGTATCAAGTTTGATCATTTATCCACGTCATTTAGGGAACTATTGAGAACCAACACGGAGTACTGGACAGCTAGCACTTGTAAACTAGTTACCTGGAGTTCAACTGAGAAGTTGTGACAAGTGGAGTCCACCAAGCTGAAACCGAAAACTGACTGACTGGTTTCAACATAGAACATTGCACTGATGTGCAGCAGTTCGATTCACCACACTCTATGTAGCACAAAAAGAAAGAGAAGAAAGTAAAAAGAAACGCGAAATAGAGATAGTAAACGCGGGTGTGAAGCAAAAAGAATAAGAATATCGAAGGACATTATGGTTTTATTAGGTATTATAAGTCACAAGGAATAGATGCATCTGCGCCAGCCATTGAGAACGATTTTGAGCCATATCATCAGTTGTCTCGAGACAGCATTGGTGTTTACCGTTCCAAGGACCCCAACTAGTCAGGAAGTCTACACCTTCCTACGTGGTTGGCTGGCTTAAACTAAGTGTTGTGGATTTCATTGACTGATGAAGCCAGGTTTTGGCTCGACCACCACTAGCTATTTCCCAACTTGATCATGTATCAACTAACATTCCTCGTCGGGGAAGGCGATAGCTAGGCATACGTAACACCTATCCTAACCGTCTCAATCGGTGTAACTTCACAGCCTCGTTGATTGATTTCCCCTCCCACCTAACTAGCGCTCGACCAATGCCTAAGCTCAGTATTATTATTATATATTATTATTCCCTTGGGTTCATAGTGGAACATAGGGCTTCAACTACACGTCTCCAATTGCTTCTGTCTTCTGCTGTACTTTTTACCTGCGTCCATGTTAATCCATACTGTTTCAATTCCGTTTCGCACGACCTCCTCCATGTTACCCTTGGACGTCCCACTCGCCGCCTCCCTTTTGGGTTCCACTCGAGCTATGGCCTGACGCGCGATGTCACCCGGCGGCCTCCTCAGCAAGTGTCCAATCCATCTCCACTTTCTCCTGCATATTTGTTGAGCGATTGGTTCTTGTTTTGTTTGTTCCCATAGTTTCTTGTTGGTGATTCTTTCCGGCCATCTGATCTTCAGTATAAAGCGAAGACAGTTGTTGATAAAGGTCTGCAACAGGCTGTTGGAAATATTCTTTGTGACTCGCCAAGTTTCTGATGCGTATAGAAGAACTGACTTGACGTTTGTATTGAAAATCCGAATTTTGTTGTTGATGTTGAGTGACGAAGATTTCCAGATTTGTTTCAGCTTGATGAATGTATTGCTCACCTATTTATAACATGTAACTTGGGAGATAGAATGCAGGCACCTCTGATAAAAGACAGCTAGCCAGCATTTTCGTGCCTTCCACTCTCAATGGCTTTGTCCCACTCACAACCTTGAAGGTGATAGGATCCCACACACTTTGTTATTGTTCAATTATCTTAACGACTGTTAATCTCGCATAAGTGGTATATCATCATTTCCCACGCATTTTGTTATTGACTATTACGACCAATTATTTCAAATACCGTTAGCTGTCTGTATTGGTTGTAAAATTGTATAAATACCATTTCCTAAATAAGTTTATTTGTCGTAGTTGTTGTACTACAATACACAGTCACAGCCAGCTTTTGTCTTTTGATATTTGCGTGGTTCGCTGAATCGGAAGGTACCAGAAGCAGATAGGCATATTAGTCAGGCGCAGATAGAATAAGGCGACAACGTCCTCAATTAATTTCCCTACGGTTATAACAGAAGGAGGACGGAGAGAAATGCTGAGCAGTACACACGTCCTTTGATAGATAGCCAGAGGGATATAACATCTACTCCAGAGACGGCGTAAACTGGCATATGCGAAACTAGCCCTCTGTATCCGTGCTGAGATTTCGTCAGAGATCAACCGGTCGGCGTTGGCTAATGCATCTTCCCGAATAAGTGAAGCGGTCAACACGCTCTACCACCTCACTCCCTATTTCTAAGCTAGGAGTCAGTGTAGTCCAGTCCTGTAACATCATCTTACATTTGTCAGGAGCGAATCACATGCGAAACATTCGCGAATTACAGCTAAAGGTGTTCAGAAGACTGTGTTTTTTCAGCGTCTTCACTTAGGAGGAAGGACTGTATCATCTGCATATCCAACAAGATTATTCTCTGGTAACAAGTCAATCCATGAGCGAAGACAAATGTTCGCTAATAACATTGGCTGGTAGTGGCACTAAAAATCGCCAACTGACAGAAGTTAGAGTTGAATTCCAGCTTAATGACTGAGTGGTCAGTGAGCTCACCTTGTAGTCTTCAAGTTTCGAGGACATCTTGCTGACCATTTGACTTGCTCGTTTGGAATTAAACGTCCTGTGAATTCTAATTTCTGTAAATTCTCCTTAGGGCTCTACCACCCAACGATGACGTCAATGAGCAACCAGTTTTACTCTGAACAATGATTAACACCACCGGTCATATCTTCTCCTTAGAACTTCAGGACATCCATCCAGTAGGTGCTAATGAGTTAGAGGTTGATGTTTCAATTTTAGGAATGTTTTGAAGGCATGAATGAGTTGCAATCAGAATTCACATAGAAACGAGGGAAAATTTATAATTATGTAAGAGTTCTAGAGAAATACAAGAGTTATAAGGAGATAGAAAAATAAACAAATAAAAATCAAATCCAGTTTTTCTAACTCAATAGGTAAATCTTCAGTAATACAAAGGAGATGGAAGCGTATTACCTTTGGCAGGTTATTCTTCTCTTTGTAGATTACTTTGAAGGAGGAGTTTGTTGGGATGGAATGACCAGTGTTGACTAGGTGGTGTTCGATTAATGAACTTCTTATAGAGCCACTGCTGCCTTTTTGAAACCATTTAGGATAGTGTTCTTGAACCCTTTCTTGACAGGATACACGTCGAAAAACCAATGTATCTGACTCCTCAGCAATAGATGAACTGATGCATGCACATAAAAGTGGTCAGATGCGAGCTCTTGTCATTTGGGGTTCTGCCGATCACTGGGCGACTGGAGAACACTATTCTGATTGTTTCTGTATGTACAGTTTTGTACACGTTGCAGCTGATGTTTCAGTCATACCTGGAGTCATTTGCTTCTACCTACACAGACTATACACCACTAGACTAGTTAAAGGTATATTTATTAACTTTTTGTACTTTCTATTCTTCTTACCTCTGGTATGGTCACCCTTCTCCTTCTTCTAAAATGATTCGGTTGATGTGTGATATGTCTGATCAGCAACACGTTCAAATATTGCTAATTGACCTAAGCCTCTTGTATTACTAACATTATTAAATATGAGAGATACTACGTTGAAACTCTAACTACAGAAGTTGTTTGTAAAATTGCTATCCAACCGTTTTATATTCTTGAAAAAAAGCATATTTTCTATAGTTGGTTTGTAAGTATTAGATTTCTTTTTACGAGAAGTCGTCACCGGTGAGGTCCATTCAGTCAAGTGTGAGGATGGATGTCCCACCGATAATATTGCTGGCCGCGCTAAAACACGAATTCGTAGAAGTCAGAATTCATGGGCTACCCATTGAATCAGGTCCCATTGGCTGAATGGTATGCTCGTTTGCCTTGTGACGGGAAGGTCCTGGGTTCGAGCCCTGGCAGTGGATGCGTACTGCCGATGATTCCCAAACTAGGATGAAAAAGCTATCCATTACCCCTGGTGGTTTTTAATGGTTTTCTAAATGATATCAATCCGTGATCAACTCGTAAAAAAAGTATATGTTTACAACCAATCAGATTTAAAATAGTCTCTAAAGTAACCAATCATTTTAGAGGAGAATACATTTCATTCGACCAATCGTGTGAAAGATAGTAGTTCAGTATTTGAGCCGATAAATGTCTATGTTTGATTCTCACTTCTAATTATTTTTCACTCTGATATTGAGTCGATAAATGCCGACCTTTAGTGAACGAAAAGAGCTGTAAAGTGATAAAGCTAAATAAGTTATTATTGATGCGCATAGATATCTCAAACCTTATTGAAATACCTCCCTATAGTACATCTTAGAAGTCTACGAAGCTTTCCATAAAGGTCTAAGTGATCTTATGGTTTGATTTTATCACAAACTGGCATCATTCAGAGCATGATTTTCTAACCGAGGAGCAGTGGACCACTGTTTTGTTTCCTTCTTGTACAAGGACTCTTCATCAGTCCACAGGCGTCAAACCTAAGATGCTCACTCTATCCTATTCAGGACTCATCAGCTGAATATACCTGGCGCCTCAATGAGTAATGTTCCTCCAGCACCAATCGAGTTTCAAACTCCAATGCGTTATCAACTAGAGGACACTTGTGATACGAGTGCTACAGAGTGGCTTTATTGCATATCACCGCCAACTGTAGCGTCGCAGTCCGCTGCTATGATGGTTTAATTACAGGTTATATTTCTTGTGTACTTTTCAAAATGTAATTTTGGGATTAAAATTTTTTTGGACGCACACATTATCGGTGACATTACATTCTTGAACTGCTTTACATTTGCAGCACTTTTATCAGAAAATATTACTTGACGCCGATATCTGCTCAATGTAATGGATTTAAGGAGGCAGTATGTTCAAAAGTTATATGTATATTATTGGATTTTCATGAAATCACTCTGGTATATTTTGGCCTATTCATTGAAACTCCCTAATACCCACTGGATAAAAGTGGGCTATTACATTTAATCGCCCGACGGTTACTAGCAGCGTAATGCAGGATGCGCATTTCGTCCTACCTAGGACTTATTAACTGGATGTGCCTTCATTCCCAGTGAGTGGTGCTGTTGCTAGTAGAACTGGAACCAAGCACCCACCGTCTCAAACGCCAAAGCTCTACTCGCTTGGCTACTGGACTAAGGACGTCATGTTTTGTGAAACGAGTATTAGTTATTATATACTGAAACCGTTTTGTATTTCCCGTTGAATAATTTATACCACGCGGAAATGCTCTATCACTATTGACAAGTCTCTTCCTGGTATGAATACTTTAGCGTCTGGAAAGATAAGCGATAGATTTGAGTCCCATTGGGAACTCCATTATTCACGGGAAAATTTAGACACACCCATATGACGAGTGCCAAATAGAATGAAATTAACATCTTGGATTCCACTGCTAGTGACTTCTAATCAATAAACAATCATGGTAATCATCCGATATCGTCGATGTTTCTAACAGAACCAGAGTATTCCGATCCAATCAATATACGTCAATCAGCAGGAAATATGCAATTATTTAAACAAGATCTATCTTGTCTCTAACTGTCAATTATTTATTTGATTTCTATTTTTTTTTCCTAACAGGGTCTACCAACTACATCGGATAAAGTTAGTTCACATCAAGCATTAGAACGATGTCCATTCCGTCGACTGACGCGGAATAAACCACAACAAAGACGACGTAAAAGCAATTCTGGTCTAGGTGATGAAATCAGTTTACCACCATCAGTCCTTTCCGCTTGTCTATTAATTGTTGTCCTCCTGTTGACTGTCGGCATCATCATCGCCTTCTGTGTTATCAATCATGAAAAGTTGGTATTGTGTAGATCACGTAGTAGCAAGCGACGTGAAAGGGAAGCAGCATTGGCTCAAGAATTGGCTGAAAAGGCTGCTAAAGAAGCTGCAGCTGCTAGTGCAGCTGAGGCGGAACAACAACAAGCAGCTGCAGCTGCCGCTGCTGCAGCCAGACATCCTATCTATGCAAGATATGGAATGATTCCACCGAATATGGGTGGTGCATTCGGTGCTTTCGCTCCAAGACCAATGGATTTAACATCATCATCAGCAGCAGCATATCAAGCAGTGTCTGGTGGAAATATGAATATGTCGTCTGGGAATATGGTACGTGGGAATCCTGGTTACGGTGGACATAATATGTAGATGGCGGACTAATCCATGTGTACAGGATACTTGAAAGACAAATGGGATAACAGATATCTTGAAATAACTGAAAAAAATTACGGATGCCTTCCTTTTTATGTTGTATAGAAATATTATTTACTAGACAGACACTAATTAATAATGACTAACATTCATCTGCATTTGTTCTGTTTGTTGATTTTGTAAATCTTGTTATAAGACTCATTATGAATAAATGATACTATCGAAAAGAAGTATCTTCCCGTAAACTTTTGTTATCATTATCCTGAATCCGTCTAGATGTCAGGTAGTAAATTTCACTTTCAGACGAAAACGTGACCTACAACAACTAGCTAGCTCACATGGTCCCACTATCATTGACGGCATAGAGGTTGAGACTACATTTAATGTCAAGTACCTTGGACTGAGTATTTCCTCCGATCTTTCCTGGTCCTCTCACATCTTGCTAGTTACTAGAAAGATGTTTCGCTTAACGTTCTATGTTAGGAAGTTAAGGCAGTCTGGTATAAAGCAGTCTTTGCTTTCTCAGTTTGTCAACTCTTGTATTCTAACCATCCCTCTTTACTGCTCCCTATTAATCTTCCCCGGATTACTTAAGAAAGACTTTGCTTCGCTGCGTAGGGCACTAAAAGCTGTTAGTAGGGGAAGTGGGATTTCGTTAAACCAACTGGTTAACACCCTTGTGGATAGACATATAATGTCATGTAAGAAACTAGCGAATTCTATATTGTCAGACCCCGAACACCCTCTCTATACGCAGCTCTCTCCTTGCATTTCATCTGGTAGAACTAGAAGCAACTATAGGAAGCTATATGCCAGGACTACCAAGTATAAAAACTCCACAATACCTTATCTGGCACAGCTATTATGTGATGAGAAATCCGTTAGGTATTACACGATCAACTTACTGCGGCGCTCTAACAAATAGTTCTCATTAGCTTTTGTTCTCCTTTCTTTGTTACTACTATATTTTTGCTCACATATTCTATTACAGACTAATTTTATATATCATATCCTGTTGTGCATTGTTTAAATATGTGAATGCAATGCTGTTCTTTTTTATTTCTTTTATTTCTCTTTTTTTCTTTTGTTGTTGTTGCTTTTTATTTTTATAATCTTATAAAAATTTATGAGGTAATTAGATGCAATATTGTAATGCACGCTGAAAATTCCATACCTGTACCACAAATACTGTTTGGAATAAAGCTATTATTATTATTATTATTATTAGAGGAGGAGGAGGTTGGTTCCCACTGCACCAGTGCTTTGGTTGCCACTGTTGACATCATCATAGCCACTCACCTCCTCAGAGTGGTCGTGGTTGTCGTCTGGGTCACCAGACCAGATTAGATTAATGATTCACCAGTTGATAATTTCGATAGTCCACATCCATTCCATCTGCTCTCTCAAATACCGAGCACTGCTATACCATATCTTCTTATTTCTTTGCCAACCTGGGCAGCCTTCCAAGCTTCGGATATTGTACGAACATTTCATGTCCCAGTGTGTAGTGGGTTCCCGACGACTTTCACCATCCTGTATCATTTCGTCTCTCTTATTGCAGTGTAAAATAAGTTTGTTTTTCATATTTTTCTTGTTCTTTGAAGTTACTTTAACGATCGGATTGATTTCCTGGGGTAGGGTTACCAACCTCACGCCTGCTGTTTTTTTGCGGGGGCTAGGGCATAGCTAGAAATTAAGTGAACTAGTATATTATATGGGTCAGAAACTTGACGTCTTCACCACGAAAAGTATTTCTAACAGGTTTCAGAATTTTATCAATAGCCGCCCACTTCTCTGACTCCATAGTGAAAACCTGACAGCCAACCAGAAACAATCAGTAACGAGAAACTCTGAGTACGAATCAATCGGGGAATTATTGCTTAACAAATAGACATGGATTGGGCACATGGTGAGGAAACCGTTGAGTGACTTCATGCGTCAGGAAGTCACTCAGATGGAAACCGAATGGGAAACGACAAGTTGGGCATTGGTTCGAGTGTGATATTGAGGAGATCATATCAGAAAGAGAAGTGAGCCTATGGTCGATCGTGTGGCTAGCCAAAGAAACCTGTAGGGACCAGGACAACATGGAGATGCGCTGTTGAAGCCCTGTATTCCAAGTAGAACCCAGAGGAATAATAACCTGGTGATGGATTGACCATACACTGAGGAAACCATCAAGTGACATCACTGGACAAGCCATTGCTCGAGTGGAACCCGAAAGGGAAGCGGCGAGTTGGTCGTCAGTGCGAGGGTGGGTGACTTGGAGGAGGTCTTGTGAAGTGGAGATGAAAACGTGTGGGCAGACATGGAGCCAGGTGAAGACTGTAGCAGAGAACCGAACGCAATGGAGACGCACGGCTGAAGCCCTATGTTCCTGTAGGAATTAAAGGAAATAATAATAATATACTTTCATGAATATTACTTAATTCCTCTTGTAATCTCACAGAAGGTAACAGGTTATCCAGATGCTGAACACATAAGTCATTATATTGTAATTTTGATCACTGATTTATGTCAGTGAGAGAACCATTGGAAACCACCAGGGAGTTTTGTCCTAGTTTGAGATTCATCGACAGAACGCATCCACCACCAGGATTTGAACATAGTAACTTCCAATTATAGTAATTATATGGTCCTACTACCAAGGATAGGAACTCAACGACACTATATTTGGCCACCCTGTGATCTATGGGATAGAGACAATGTAAAGTGTGAAACATATGAATTACTATGTTGTTAGCTAAATGATCGGCTCTTTTATTATCTCTTATTTGTAATCTATGGTGACAATACCTCACTTAACTTACAATCTTATCTACTAACCTTATTATTATTTAAAATTTTCTTGTTAATATATATGACTTCGTTGTTACTACGGTTACCATGTAAGAACCGTTATTAACTATCCTATAATGTTATCTTTATTATTGCTTTTGATATTATTTGATAAAATAAGGTGCAGCAATGTACTAAATGCCGAAAATTCCACATTGTAACATTAGCACTGTTTTGGAATAAAGCAAATTATTATTATTTATAAACCTTTCCGAATACCTATTTCTCACCAATGTCTCTCTCACCTTCTTAATTTTCCCTCCTGTCTCTTTGTCCTTACAATGTTTTCTCCATTATTATTATTATTATTATTATTATTAGTTTTCTCAGGATTTTTGCAAATCGAAAAATCATAGTGGAGTATTAATTCTGGTGAAGAGTGTTCATCAAACTATCTTATGAGTTTAGATCCGATGTGTTTATTCTTGTATTGTTGACATATGTTAAACTTATTTGCTTGTTTTCACGAAGGTTCCTTGTTGTCACATCTTGTTCATGTGAGTGTATGTATTTCACCTTAAAAATTGTCAAGAATTGATTTGGAGGATTAGATTTGTTTTTCGAGGTACATCCAGTCTTGAGTAAGCATGGATTCCTCTCAGATGATATCGGTTGGTGATCGCGCTAAAACACGAACTGGTAGAAGTTAGAATTCCCCGGCCACTGAATCGAGTCTCAGTGGCTGAATGGTATACGAGCTTGCCTTGTACTCGGAAGGTCCTGGATTCGATCCCTGGCGGTGGGTGTGTACTGCGGATGATTCCCAAGCACTAAGATGAAATAGCTGTCCAGTACTCCCTGGTGGCTTTCAATATTTCTCTAACTGATATCAATCCGTGGTGAAACTTAAAAACTGTATAAATAACAATGTTTGTAGAGGAGTATTCAGTTGACGAGTCCTGCTAGGGGAATTCATAAATTCATTAAATACTTCTGCTTTTTCCACAGTTGTTGCTTGTTTTAAATTTACTACGCGGAAGAATTGTTTCCAATATTTTGATTTAACTACTACCCAACCTCTCTTCCAACCTTATCCTATACCAGCTAACATTGCTTGTCGAGAAACGTGTTGGCTTGGCACTCACAACATTCATACCAACTATATGATTCGATGTAGCTTTAATAACCTCATCGATTGACTCCCATTTTACTCAACACTAGGCCTAACCTTGTTACTAGTTATCATACCATAGAATTATTATATTATTATTATTTCCTTTAATTCCTAGAGGAACATAGGGCTTCAGCCGTGCGTCTCCACTGCGTTCTGTTCTCTCCTAGAGTCTTCACCTGGCTCCGAGTCTGCCCGCATGCTTTCATCTCCTCTTCACATGACCTCCTCCAAGTCACCCTTGGACGACCAACTCGCCGCTTCCCTTTCGGATTCCACTCAAGGGCTTGTCTAGTGATGTCACTTGATGGTTTCCTCAGCATATGGCCAATCCATCTCCATTTCTTCCTGCCTATTTGTTTGACAATCGTTTCTTGCTGGGTTGGTTCGCTCCCAGAGATCCCTGTTGCTGATCTTTTCTGGCCATCTGATCTTGAGTATTGAGAGAAGACAGCTGTTAATGAAGGTCTGTAGTTTGTTTGAGATGCTCTTTATGACGCGCTGGCCAAGTCTCTGATCCGTGTAGTAGCACTGACTGGATTTCACATTGCAGTTGAAAATCCGGATCTTATTTTTGATGTTGAGTGCTGTTGACCTCCACACAGACTTGAGGGTAATGAAAGCTTGTCTTGCCTTCCCGATCCTTGCTTTGATATCCTCCTCAGTCCTGTTTGCCAGTAGTTGATACGATGCTTCCCAGGTAGGTAAAAGATGTTGTTTCTTTCATAGAATGGAGAGACCAATTTTCAGAGACTGTTAACCTCTGCACCTCTTCCATTAATAGTAAACGACTGAATTACAAGCCTACATAAATAAATGAAATGAAGCACTGGATGTAGCTACTAGTCTTACCATGAAGGTCTATACTAATACGCATACTATCATCTTGAAGGTAATTCAAGCACTGACAGACAGAAAGCTCCACAACATTGTGAAGTAAACGTTCACCATAGTCCGAATTATAAAAAACTCAGAATATAGTTTTTTTCTGATAAATAACTCCCTCGTGGCAACAAATCAAGAGGAGATATTTAAGTTTCCGTTTTGGACACCTAAACATCAAATAGATTGGCCTCAGAAACCTGGTTGGTTGATGTGTTTAGTTGGATACAGCTTACACAGAAGTGTCCTCAAATCAATCAGTCATGGTAACTGGGTCATGTTAAAGTATCACAATTCAGAAGTGTGAAAGCATCACTGACCTTGAACATATACTAGTGGTTTGATAATGGGACTCACCATTATTGTAGCGCCACTATGAACGCTACTGATGAAATGAGGTGAAAATTTCATCAGAATCACGTATTTCACACAATGCTTAGGTTCTAGAATGATGTCACATAGTGGTAAATGTTTTTGTTTAGCTTCTGTATACACCTAGAGGTGTTCAGGAGCAAGTGATGGACATCTGTTTAAGTATAGGAAACGAACGAGTGTTCGTAATGGTAAGTTACACATTCAATTCATTGCTTTCTGAGAACTGAACTGCTTTTCTGAATCTTAACCGCCACTGACGAAGATACACTTTATCTGTTATTACTGGACATTAAAAACTGAAGTGAAATCAACGGCTATAGAGACAGAAAATTCTTTGATTTCTATTGGACAATGGTTCCACAATTTAAGAGATATATTGTCGTGGAATGAATGAATACTGTCATGCAGTTGCTAGGATGAGCTGGTGTTATTTTTCATATCGATAAAACAGTTCTCATAAAAAAAAGAAAAATAACCGAAGTCACCCTAAGGCAAACAACATTTGGGTATTAGGAATTTACCAAGTGGTGAGAGCTGTCTGCTAGCCAAATTGGTAGACAACAATTACGCCAATGTTTACGTCCCATATCTTGGTCATGAGAAAATAACAAGAACAAAGACTAACTCAACAACCAATCACAGCAGACTTAGCGTAGGCGGATACGATTTGCAGATAAATGGTCTGACCTTCAAAGGAATGGCCACAAAGAGATGACAGAATAACCTTCAGCAAGAAAACAACCAATCAGAAGACGTTGCTTCTCTAGTAACAATAACGAATAATAATGTACATAAAAATATGTAAATATCTGTTGATTTCCTTAATAAACGATCTGTTGCCTGGCCCTTGTCCTCTGTTGTTACAACGGCATGAGACTTCAGAAGGAAATTGTGGAGGTAACTCTAAATCTTATTTCCGACGCTCTTCTACCAACTATACAAAGGCTAGTCATTCCTGGCACTCATATTCATACTGACGATTGAGTAGGATATAACCATCTATCAGATTTGTGATTTATCCATCATCGAGTGAAACATTTTTGTGATTTCGTCGACCCCATAAGTGGTGCCTATATCAATTCATTTGAATGCTTCTGGGGCAGATTGAAAAACACGGTGAGAGAAATAAGTGGGTAGCGAAAGGAACTCATTTTCAGTCATCTTGATAAATACATGCTTAGAAACTGGTTCAACTTAAAAACTGACAATTTTCATTATGATGGGGACATATTTTTAAATCATGTCAGAGAAAATCATCCTTTTTAATCTGTCTTCATGCAATTCCTGTGTAAATAAACGTCATTTTGTGTAAGAAATACAGGTTTTTCTGATTGGTCGGACTAAAGTCACTCGTACGATCACATCCCATGGTTTGAGATGGCTTAACTTAGCCATTAACTATACACTTAACAAGTTGATATTTGATGTTTAGACCATCTGACATAGTCTCGGGGCCTACAAAATGTTATTGACGATATTGACGATGATTCAAGGTAAGGGAAAATTCTGGATCTAGAGACCAGCAGCATCTCAACTAAGCTGGTAGCACACCAGACTAGCAGTAAGGAGGCCAACGTTACTCGATGAAGGAAGCGTAGACTTGACATGTGCTACATATATCCTGTCTATCTCAATCTATGCAGTTTCATAAGGTCAGCGATTGACGTTCCCCTCACACTTGATACTTCACGCCTAACCATGTTATTACTCACTATATTATGCCAACTAACACGAGAAATAAAACGCTAGCAAACATTATCATATCAATAAAAAGAAATATTTTCAACACCACTCCATGATCACTTAATCATTTCTTTTTTTAACCAATATAAATGAAAAAGGAAGCAATAAAATACAATGAATAGGTTAAAGAATACAAACGAAACGTAGTGTGAACAACAGAATTTAAACTACCGCTAGACTTAAATCTCAAGGTCGTTGTGTTTTGTCAACAAATCAAAATTATGCATTAAAACAAACTGATGATAATATCAAAACGAATTTGTAGCACTCAGGATGAATTCAGTTTATTACTGTTAATTAATGTTCTTGTTAGTAGTAACAATGTTCGGTGGATACAACACTCCTTGAAATCAGTTACTTACTGTTCAACTTAATTGAACAAATTCATTATTGAACATAAACAAACATATGATTTAAACAGATATATAATGTGTTCTTTTTCTTCAAACTGGCATTGGTAGACTATGTAAACGATAGAATAGCATATATGCACATTCAGGACCTTCAAAAACTTTATGAAATGTCATTGGATCAATTTCAATGATGTAATCATCATTAACATCAAACCATCTACCATAAACTGTCTCAGAATAATTATTCGTTTTGTCTGAAATATTCTTCGTTCTATTATTTCTTACATGTTGTTGATGAGGATGTGGATCACGGTGGTCGCTTGGTTTCGTTTGAGAAAAATAAGACGAAGATGCTAATTGTTCATCAAAGTGACCGCCATCAGCATCATCATCATCTCGTTGATGACCTTGGGGTGTTGATAAGTTACATTTTAATTGATACCTTGAATCACTGGGTGTAACATTTTCAAATTCATTCTTTTGTTGATTATTATCAGAGTAACTTGAGGTTAGTTTTGCCTTAGTACGTTTGATATTAGGCAGTGAATCAGCATATTCCGTAGGAGTATTTTTGATAACTTGATTTAATAAATCTTGACATCTTGAAATACTTCGTTGATACTGTGAATCATTTGATGATAAAGCTCTAGGCGCTAGATGATCATTTCTATGATCAGCTTCAAATAATCGTGATCTCCACTCATCTGCATGCTTTGATTTAACCAATGGGCATGGATACAATTTATCTGGATTGACATATGGGATTTTTGTCCTTGTTTTTGTTGTTGTTGTTGTTGCTGGTGGTGGTGGTGGTGATTTTACTAACGGGGCTGGTGGGGCTGGCATTGTTGTCAATGTTTCATCTATAGAATTTGTAGCCGCCAGCTTCTCTGTTGAACTAGTTGACTGCATCTCTGTGTTATTGTGTTGACTTAACTGATGATGTTTAGCCGTTAGCCTTTCATCTTTCATTCTTCGATGTATCGATTTATTTCTTAACCTGTTAGATGTGGACTTTTCTGAGTTGATTTGACTCATCATTCTTTTATTTGAATACATGGCATTGCGCTGACGATGATTTACTCGCCTATAGTTCTGTTGATCATATAATTTATTTGGTTGACTTGTACTACTTACAGACTTTATATTAGTAGTAGTAGTAGTAGCAGTACTCATAACAGGATAAACTTTAATACCATCTAATTGTTGTATCGGTGTTTCTTTTGTCTTGCCAATAGGTTTCATTGTATTGCCTAGAGTATGCTTAGTAGTATAATGCTGTACTTTAGTTTTACCCTTATTCGGTGAATTCTGTTCACGTATATTGTTATTCTCCTTTTTGTTGGTTAGTTGATCTTTATTGATTATTGTTATCATGGATTCAGATTTTAATAGATCAATAAGATCAGGTTGTGTTACCTTTCCATTGGATTTATTATTGATTAACGATGATGCCGACTTATGAAGATCACTTGAATATAAAATAAAGTAAAAGAAATCAGAAATTGTAATAATAATTGTAATAATTAAACATTGAGATTAGTGAACAAAGAATCTTCCCTTCGATAACTTCTTCTTCTTTAGACTCTACGTTTATGTCTGTCTGTCTGTTTTCGACATAAAACTTTGCATCGATGTGCAGCAGTTCAATTCGCCACACTCCATGTGGCACACGAAGCAAGAGAAGAAAGTAGACGAAATGCTTAATAGAGACAGTAGACAGGGATATGAAACAAAAGGAATAGTAATAACGAAGAACAATATAGTTTCATCCACAAGGAGTGGATGCACTTGCGCCAGCCATTGAGAACGATTTTGAACCATATCACCAATTGTCTCCAACCATTGGAGATTATGGTCCGCAGGACCCCAACTAGTCAGGAAGTCTACACCTTCCTACGTGGCTAGTTGGCTTAAACTAACTGTTGTGGATTTCATTGACTGATGAAGCCATGTTTTGGTTTGACCAACACTGGCTCTTTTCCAACCTGACCCTATGTCAGCTGGCTAACATTGCCTGTTGAGGAAGGCGATGCCTAGGCAGGCATTCTTAACACATGTCCTAACCATCACAGTCGATGGAATTTCACAGCCTCATCGACTGATTTCCCCTCCTTACCTAACACTCGACCGATGATTAACCTCAATGTTGCTCACCTTATCATACCACTTCACACGGGAGATAGAACGCAGGCACCTACGATCAAAGACAGCTAGCTAACCTTTTCATGTCTTCCAATTTCAATGGCCAGGTCTCACTTACAGCCATAAAGGAGGACGGAGAGGACTGCTGAGCAGTACACCCCCCTTTGGCCGATAGCCAGCGGGAAATCACGTCTACGCCAGAGACGGAGTAAACTGGCATATGCAAAACTAGGCTTCTCTATCCATGCTGAGATTTCGTCAGCGGTCAACCCGTCAGCGCTGTCTGATGCAACTTCCCAAATAAGTAAAGTGGTCAACGCGCTCTACCACCTCACTCCCTATTTCTAAACTAGGAGTCAGTGTAGTCCAATTCTGCAACATCATCTTACATTTGGCGCTACATTAATGTATCAGTAATAGTATCATGTACATTATTTCATCATCAACAGGAGAAACCTAAAGCAGGTCACCTCTTTCAACTATAGGCGAAAGAAAGGATATGTATATCAAAGGCAGCGAAGGTCGAAAAAGCAAGGCAGACCTTCATTAATCTACAAATCAGAGTAATTTGGAACTTCAGCAGTACAGTGGAGTCACTGGTTTTATGTGGCACATAGACTTGGTAAATCATGTAAGGTGTTTCCAACAGGAGGCACACTTTCATCAAAGTCATCTCCACTCTACACCACAGATCAGATGGTCAGATAGCATAAGTAATGAGAAGCTCTGGCAATAAACCGGCCAAGAATCTGTTTATCATCTTGAGGAGACTGTTGGATGAAATGGAGTTGTGCTGTCGTGCTCTATGTTCCACTTGGAAGCCAAGCGAATAATGACAGCGTGGCGATTCCATCATGGTCACACCCCTAAGAGTCATCAGTGACCAAAATAACCTTATATTAATTCTAAGATATTGTCGGAGTGTTCCTTCTAGAAGTGGCCGAGCTGCTCAGTTCAACATAATAATCATTCAAAGGGAAATACAAATTAACTTAAACAACGATAATATTAATTGATACCAGTTATACAATAGTTACTTTGTGTAGCCCAGTGATTTAGTGGATTATATTTAAGTGTTTGAAAACATGACTACCGGGTCCGAGTCCTAGTGAGGAGACTATCACTCACCGGGGATTCCACGTTCATTCAGCCGACAAGTACTCGTTTTTCCATTCGTTTGTAGGACTTCAAAATCGAGATCTTTATTTTCAGTAGTGGGACTGTCAGTCTTTTTAATAGAGTCGAATTACCAGCCCCAAGTCAAACCTCCCCTCTTTCACCAAACTTGCTATCAACAAGGCGCGAGGCTTAGCAGTGCGTTGGTTGGGAATCAAATTCAAACAAGCTGTGTGGTTAGCAAGCATTCTATCAATAAACTCCTGTCTGATAACCTTAGAATGAGAACATTCTTTTGTCACTGTACACTCTTAGTGCCTGTTATGTTTCACACTCTTGATGAAGGTTGCAACCACATTAGCCGCCAACACTTTAAGTTTATCAGTAAACTTAGTGGTTTTAAAGTCATTTAAAACCTACATATATCATTTACAATATTGCAACATGACTAGTATCCACGTCAAACGATTAGCATAACAATCCACCAATCAAGTGTCAGCGTCTGTCTATCAAATATGTCTAGCCACTTGATATATAGACAGATAAAAAATGGATTATGTTTTAATGCTGAAGTGGTGAACCAGATCGGCCTAGAAATAAACCAATCAAAACTGGCCTACGTGAAATAACGCCCACCACTTTATTGATCATGAAGAAAGATTAAATGACGGTCCCAGTGGCCTAATAGTCAACGAGCTCGCCTTCTGACTAGGTCTTGGGTTTGAACCCGTCTTGGTGGATGCATACTGATGAAGACTCTCGAGGTAGGACGAAACAGCTATACACTATTTTGAGGTTTTCCAATGGTTTTCTAACCGATGTCAGCTCATAATGAAATCCCCCGAACAATCGAACAAAATCCCTACAAACCAATACTTGGATATAAATGACATAGCCTTGGTGGTATTTTGAATCAAACATTGTTGTGTGAAATATACTTTTGGCTAACGACGTTGTGTATTCTCGCTTAAATGGAGCAGGCTGGGAAACAGATCGCTGTCATATAATGTTATCGGCATTGTCAAGTGATACTCTTGATTACCGCGTCTGTGTCCAACTTGGTGTCCCTATTTCACTCTCAACGCGTATTAGGAAATACAAAATTGATTACGTCATAACACTACTACACTGTCATGTGACTTAGCGTTTACTTATTTTGCAGACACCCGTCACTAAATAGGCTGAATCGCATAAATTCTGTACTCTATTTTGAAATCCCACCCAAGTAGCCGAACAGTCAGCGATCTTGACCTCATAACCTCAAAGTCTTTGGGTCGTTCGCTGATGGGATTGTGGGTGTACATTGATGAAGAGTCTGAAACCAGGACGAGACGGTCGTCCAGTGCGCCTCTTCGTTTTCAATAACCTCTCCAACTGGTGTTTGTTCGTAACGAGGTCTACACTGAAGTCAGCAGAGAAATAAAAAGTCATCTTCCCCAATATATTTCTCATTACCAATCGTCAGATCTTTAAAAACCAAACAAAAATAAGGGTATAAATAAGTTTCAAACTTACCTAATTTGTAAATTCTTTAAATTAACTTCAATTGTATGCAAATTCTTGTACAAGCAGTGATCTTGCTCCACTTTTTTCCGATTAACTTGTTCATAACATATATCATTTATTGATTTATTATTTTCAGTAATATTCTTATCAAAATTATCTTTAAATAATATTTCATGCTTATAATTCTCATTTTGTTTTAATGTATCCACTTCTGAGTGGCCAAAATTTGAATTATACGCTACATATTCATCAGTCAATTTGGTTTGTTTATCTATCTTTCTTATTATTTTTTGATTCACTGGTGAATTATTTTCAAATGCTGAAGATTTTTGATTTAAGGCCGCTGATGTTTTAGATTCATGGGAATTTAATTTACTATGTGTTGCATTTTGTTGCTTATCTAGTAAAATTTTGATACCATTATCATTATCATCAATATCATCATCATCATCATGTTTTCTATCATTGTTATTTTTATCACTATTTTCATCATTGATTATGTGAGGAGTTTCATTGTCCGCATCATCACCGTTGTCTTCATCGTCAACATCACTGTTGTCATTTTCATCGATAGCAGGGACCAGATGAGTTCCTGCATCGTTTGTTAAATGTTCAGTCATCTTATCATTATGATCGATATAGGCAGCAGCAGCAGCATCAGAGTTATCATTCAATGGGAATTTATGAGAATTAATCAATACATCTTGTTGATTCGACTCTTGACTATTTTCTAATTTATTACTACTACTGTCTAAGCGTATATTTTGTGTACTTGTTGCTGAACAATTCATTGGGTTTGTACATTTATTATTCTGTAAGTATGAATGAATTTCAGAAAGAAAGAAAGAAAATATCCTATGTCAGTAAAAATAGGATTGGTGAAATGTTTAAGTGACAGAGTAAAAAAACTAAGTAGTACCAAGGTAAATCTAAGACAGGAAGTGAGACATATAAGAGAAGCCTTGAAACTTAATAATTACCCGGATAAATTAGTCAGAAAGTATGTAGGGAAATGTAAAAATAAAATGAAATAAATGATGATAGTAGTGATAGTGATAATAACAATAATAATGATATTAATGACGACATGCATGTCAAATATGCGCAAGATAATGACAACACCAACCATAAGGAATCTAAATCATAAGTAGTAATTCCACATAAGGAAGAAACCTCGGAAACCTTACGCAGAATTCTTGACAAGGTAGGAATAAAAGTGGCTGGCATTCAAACCCACAAACTCAATTAGAAACAAGCTTTGTCGGTTGAAGGATAAATCCTGTGGAGCCTTTAAAACAAAACAATTTTGTTTATCTAATACCCTGCTGAAATGATTGGTAGTTCAAATACATAGGTCAAAGTAGTAGAACAGGGTCAGTGAGTCAGACTAGCCGAGCATAAAAACCTAGCAAAATCTTGATTAGTTCACCCTAATAAGATAAGAAATCTAGAGAATAGTTCAGCTATAGCACTAAATGCAATTACGCACAACCATACAATAGGATGACAGTTTTAATATCTAATGTCACAGGGTGGAGGGAGAGATTGATAACAGAAGCTTTGTTTATCGAATCAATTGAAGAGAATACGTGTAATAGGAATGATTCAACACCTGTACAGTCGGATATCTGGAAAATTCTACTACCCCAACGACGACAAATAGGAGAGAACAAAGAAAACTATAAAACTCAAGTTTCGAAGTTGTGTGATTATAATTGTTGACATGATTATGAACAATAATAGATTTTGTTCGAAACTGTGTCATCCAGTAAATAATACTGTTTCATCACTGAGTGATACACCTAATAAACAAAATAATACGGAATTAGAAATAGAATATTAAAATAACCATAGGTATAATTTTAAAGTGTCATTTTGTATTGTCTGATTGGTTTTCAATGATTCTCTCTCTCTCTGTCCCTCTCTAACTGATCAAAACATGAAACTCAACAAATCTGTACAAACTACCACTTGAAATGTACAGCAATCAACAAGTGTGTTAATAAAGCAGGATTTTGATGAATCTGTCAAATTTCGGTAGAACACTTCCTCAACTGAATACTCTGTCTACAGTAGTTAAATTGCCCTGACCCGAAGAGAGAAATTCGGAGACCTACACGCTGACGAAGGATACGCACCTTATTCCAACAAGGGAAATTAACTGTCACACAAAAGTGTCAATTGATAAGTGTCAATCAATCGTTCAGTACAAGAGTATAAAGAAAATAACTAACATATATGAACCAATAAGACAGATAAGTAGTTTTTCGTGCTACCAAGTGGATTGTGATTGGTTGCAACGTCATGTGACAAAGGTCATGCGTTGTTATTTAGTCAATAAGATCACAATATTCAGCGAAGAGACTCTTTTCAACTACGAATTAATTATCAAGCTGTACAATCGTATAAATATGGTTTTTAAGAAATTATATCCGGTGAGGGAATTAGATCAAACGTGTGATTACATGAAATAATAATAATATGAAATGCAATTAAATTCAATTGTGATCGATTCCTGTCACTTTACCAACCCTGACTATGAGTACAAGATCATCTAACGAATCCATGCTAAATTACCGCGTTTTCTTCGTTACAGACTTCTAAAGACAGCTGAGGCCTTGGCAATTCATGACTTTAAGCCAACCAGACGTTTGTGTACAAAAGAAGTATGTACAATCCCTACTTCTGCCTTGGCAGTAGAGGGATAGACATTCATTTATTTTGTTTATTTAGTTATTCTATGTACCCTTCCTTCATTACTACGATGATCATTATTATTACTACTATTCTCACACTGCATTGTTTCCACTTGTCCCTCTTGTCATTCTAAATCAAAAATTTCAATTCTATGTTGTCGAATTTCACACAATGTTTCGTCACGTTTTTATTCTCATTCTATTTGCGTACTAATCCTATAATCGCACACCCCTTCCAAGTTCTGTACATCCTATGAATTGCTCTATACATGACATTAATTGTTTTATCACTTAAAATTGAACTATGATTGTAATCACAAATATTTTAACTGCATTTCATACTATTATTATTATTTTATGCATTCACACCTATAATTCAATTCCCTCATCGGCTATAATTTCTTAAAAACCATACATATTTACAATTGTACAGCTTGATAATAAATTCGTTGTTGAAAATAGTCTCTTCGTTGAATATTCTCTTCTAAGTGCTACAATGGAAATTATTAGATTTAGTCAATAGAAAGACAAAATAGGTTGTGAGTCATAATGGACTAACCATCAATTACTCTCAAGTCTGTATGGCGATCAACACTCAGAACTCAGCATGGAAAAAATAAGATAGGGATTTTCAACTCCAATATGAAGTCAGTGCTACTTACTGTACGGATCAGAGACTTGGCGCGTCATGAAGAGCACCTTAAACAAACTACAGATCTTCATCAACAGCTGCCTTCGCTCAATACTCAAGATCAGATGGTCAGAAAAGATCAGCAACATGGATCTCTAGGAATGGACGAACCTACCAGGAACCAATTGTGCAAGAAATATGCAGGAAGAGATGGAGGTGGATTGGCTGGCCATACTCTGAGAAAACAAACCTTCAAGTGAGTGATATCACATGCCAGGTCATCGGTAGAGTGGAATGCGAATGAGAAGCGAGGGTGACGTGGAAGAGGAGGTGATGTGAAGAGGAGAAGAAAGGATGTGGGCAGACGTTGAGCCAGGTGAAAAGGTTGGCGGAGAACTGAACGTAATGGAGATGTGCAGCTGAAGCCCTATATTCCTTTAGGAACTAAAGGAAACAACAATGATAATAAATAATAGCGAAAGATATCAGACCGGCAATCAAGGTAGATATCGTGTGACTACATATAAGATATAAAATTAAGATACAACGCATTACGGTTCAAATACATAACTTAAATAAACAATAAGTCTTCAGATAAGGAACTTAAATATATTACTAATTACGAACTGAGTAATATTAATAATACTAAAGGCAATAATAATAATAATAACGATAATAAGGATGTTTCGAAACCTGTTGCCAAGATTTGGGTTAGTACAGCGGTGATTCCTTACCAAAAAGAAACGTCGGATGAGATAAAGCGAATCCTTAACGAGCATGACATAAGAGTGTATTTTCCTGCATCTAACACCTCACGCTCATCACTGATAAAGGCTCAGGATAAAATAGAAGAAGAAAACCAAAAGAAATGTATGTACCAGATCACTTGTGGGACTGTGACGCCGTATATGTAGGAGAAATTTACAGACAGGTAAATATAAGAGTGAAAGGGCATAAACAGTGTCTAAAAGTGGTTCAAAGACCTCTGCAGACTTAAAGAAGCTAGACAACGGATCAGCGATTACACTGCATTCGACAGAAACGGGACACAAAATCGACTTTGATAGGAATAAGCTTCTACTGAAAGGTTTTGGTTCGTATAAAGAAAGACTGACTGCGGAAGCCCTACATATATGGGTGAATCATAACATTTTGAACAGACATGAAGGTGTGACGTTAGCTTATACATGGCAAATCCCAATTAATAAATAAAAAATCGATATGTATCACTAATTAATCATACCTGGTCTAAATTCCCAATTGTCTATATCTTTTTATGGAGAGACTAACAAATGTTTTACAACTGTTTACCCATACTCACACCTTTGTATACTGCATATACACATATTTACATATTCAGTTATCCATGACCATGAACTTTTAACGTAATCTGATGAAAAGTACACTCTGTTTAAAGTGTTTTAACAAAAGTAGGCTTATTTTTAAATGTCTGAGGTCAAATTCTGATCACAGTTCATACAGTTTTGTTTATTATACATGTTGATGCCTGTTTCATGACTCATATGATTGGACAAAATTTTTAAAAACAAGAGATGTCCTTTTTCTATATTAACCTCTGTTATTTTAATTTCAGTTCATTTCCCTGAAGAAGTCCGAACCAGATTGCCGAACAAAACGTTGGAATTACTTATTTCAATATCGCTGAGATATTACAAATATAATTTTTTACAAATGTCTACTTCTCACTCGGCACCCAAATATTTTAGAACTATTCAGTCAAATCGTGATCACAGTTCATATGAATGGATAATAAAACGAGTTGAGATAATAACACTAATTAAGGATAGTTTTAAATGAATCAGGTATAATAATAAGAGGTAGAATAGAGTGTTAATAGTATTAATAATAATAAGTGAAACGTATTATAATTGGTTGATTCAGAGTGACCGCCATTTCCTTTTGTACACAGAGACGTGGTTTATGAACTGGAATTGTATAAGCCTCCGCAATTGCAAGCAACTTTCTGTTTGTTTCTCTGCTGGCGACAGTCAGTGACTTGATAGCGTTGACATCATGTCCGTAGTCCTAAAGAGACTTTGTTACTGAACTGTTTGGTACTTAGAATTCAGCTGATTTCAACCACTTTGGTGAATGCTCCATCATGCGAGTAGACAATCGCCTTTCTGTACAGCCTATGTATTTGTTTCCACAAATACACTCAAATTGATATATACTCAGTTTGAAGTGTCGATGATTGGTGACTGGTGACTGGTCTTTCCCAGATTGCTGGAGCGCCCACTTGGTAGCGTTAAGGAATACGACGTTTGCAGCATAATAAGTTCTCTTGATAGCTTTGTCGAGTCTTAGTTTGACTAATTCTTGTAAGTCATATCCTTTGAATGGCAAGCTGATATAGACAGATTTTTGATTCTCAGTAGTGACTAACTACAGGTTCTATTCATAAGTCGTGTGAGGGAATACCAGGTCGAGCAAGGCACAATATATCGTGAATTAGACCATTGGATTCTACCCCTGGTCAATGAGGTCGCTTTGTAAACTGAAGATACTGGAGTCGATCTTTGTTGGGATCATGAGTGCTTGTTTTTGAAGAGTCCCGAGCAAGGGCGAAACAATTATCTGATAGTCCCTGGTTTTCAATGTTTCTCTAAAAGTAATCAGTTTGTGATCAAAATGAAAGAATAGTTACCGAAGCGAACAACAGAAAAATGAACTTAAACTAACCAGTCAGGGAAAAGAAGGTGGGCTTAACAAAAGAATATTCACGCATTTCTCTATAGGAACGTCTCACAAACTGGCAGATATGCAAACAAAAGCAAGCAATTTGTCAGAATAAGCAGTCAAGGTAGGACTTCCGGTGAATTTAGTGATGTAGAGTGTGGTCTCATCGACTTAAGTAGACAGCATCGCTTCAGCTACAAACAGGACGGATGAGGCTGTCAGAACCAGCCACGATTAGGAAAGGAAACCATGCATGCATGCATGCATGCACTTCAATAAGTATGGAGATCTACGGCAGTTAGTGGAAGGAATAAGATTTAAATTTTAAACACGGCTTTTATATGGTTCGGAGACTCAGCTGCCACGTAATCGAAAGCATTTCCGACATGCCACTGCAAACTTTCATCGGTGGATACCTTCGCTCAAAGATCAGATGGCCAGCCAATAAGGATAAGCATTGAGAAACTCTTACAGACAGCGAACTGAACAGCAGCTTGTCGTTCAGCTACTATGCCAAAAGAAATGGAGATGGTATCGAAAGTGAGCTAAGGAGACCACTGAGAAACATTGCTTCTCAGATCCTCGAAAGCACACCGAATGGAAAACGACAAGCTGGGCTTGGGTCAGATGATAATACCAAGGAGATCTTGTGGGAGTGAAATGAAAGTAATCGTGGCTCCAACTAAAAAGAAATTCAGTGGACAGAGTGGAATGGCGATGTCCTACTGAAGCTTTACGTCCTCCTCCATAGGAATAATAATTATCTCATGACAGTACCTTGAAAACAAAGTCAAATATCTCACTAATAATAGATGAATAAATGAATTAATTAATTTTAAAAATTACTTGCCGATTGACTGTCTCTTTCACCTGTAGATGTTGTACCATATGGATCTTTAATAAATGCATGATAATGTCCACCTCCGGTACTACCGCCAACATGAATTACAACGGAAAATAATTCATATTTTAATTTCTAAAAAATAAAGATTAAAACATATACACTAAGATGAAAATGCATAATATTTTGCAAAGAATGATGTACGATAATGATTCCCTTAAGTTCTCGGTGAAATAGAAGGCATCAACGTTATATCTCCATTTCATCCCGTTCTCTGTAGATCTATCTAGCTGACGATTCACCCCGCCATGCCACCTTGAACCCATGCTCAACTCTAGGCCCTGTCGTATTATACCACTAAGTGGTCTCCTCATAGTAGATCCACTCTACTTCTATGTACCTCTGCTGATTGGTTTGGCGATAAAGAAGTTTTTGGTCGGTTCGCTGCTAAAGTTCCTCTTACGTCAATGTTTACGTCCCATATCTTGGTCATGAGGCCAGCTCAACAACCAGTCATAGCAGACTTAGCTCGGGAGGATATGATTAGCAGATATATCAACGGACTGTCTAAGAAACGGCCACAAAGCGATGACAGAATAATCTTCAGCAAGAAAACAACCAATCAGAAGAGGTTGCTTCTCTGCTAACAATAACGCTAATAATAATGTACATAAAAATCTATAAATATCTGTTGATTTTCTAAATAAACTATCTGTTGCCTGGCCCTTGTCTTCTGTCGTTACACACATTCTTATCTGTGCCACCTACATTTGAGAAGGTCCTCTGTCTAGATGGGTAAAAGTAGTGACTTCCTTGAGATTTCTCCTGTCGGTAGTGAATAATCCTTGTTGTTGTTGGTGTTATTGTTATCTTCATGACATTTGTCTTCCGTAATTTCACCTATAATATGTCCTGACTTTGCTACTTCTTCTACCAACTTGCTGATTTGTGCCTACTAATATTCTGGTTTCTGTGACATCAGACACAAGTCATCCACAAAATCCTGATTTTCCGGTGTCTTTTCATTATCTTTTCCAGGATGAGTTAATTCTTCAAAACTCTGAACTGATATAGCCAATAGAGCGACCTTGTAGACTCTGAGCAATAGGAATTTTAATTGCCTAACGGACCTACTCTCTGATCGCTTGCTAATGACGACACAAAATTCTACCAGAACAGCAATATCAAGGGTACATCATTGATATGAGAGATTGTACTATTATCAAACGACAGTGAAAACAGTTAACATGGATGGTGTCGTATACGATTTAAGTTACATGCTGAAGTCAGGCCGCTGACTTTTCTCAGCAGATCTGTTAGTGCTGGTGAACATTCAATGGTTTGTTGATTCGAAATGATCTCCATTTGGTAGGAGACAACTGTGGCAATCTCTGCTTAGTCGTATGCTGGTTGCCAGAGGACTGGAGAAATGCGGTCAGAAGCAGTATTGTACATATTGCACATAGTAACTTGTAATCATGTTCCGCAGTCGTTGGATGAATAAACAATCGTATTCTCCCTCAGTTTTTTAATATTTGACGTTGTTGGTGAGAACAGGAGACTTAGCTCCTCTGTTGCGAAACATATTATAGAGACAGGGCATAAAATTGACGTTAGCACATCTTTTAAACCTATCTATAAAACGTGTTTGGGGCGCGCCCTAAATTTTGTGGAAGCCCTAGTTGGAAATTAGAAAGTTTAAACCACCTTTATGCGTCCAAAGCAACAATTCGTCATCAAACTAAACCTCCTTTGGTAAACCTTGTTTTGATACCATAACAGATGTACTATTACCTCTGTTATTTGGTTTAGTGGTCTTCATTGTTACTCTGACCTTGAATATGTCCTTTAAACTTGACCTAAGTCTATTTTCTCACCTCTTACCTCTTTATTAATTTCATATATATTCCTATGACAAGTCCGTGTGTGATCAGATTGTTCGAAATGTGTTACACAAATACATTAATTATCTATAGTTTGGTTTGTAAGGGTTAGTTTTGTTTTTAGGAGTTGATAACGGATTGATATCAGTTGGAGAATCATTGAAAGCCAGCACTGGAGTACTGGACGGCTGTTTCATCCTAGCTTGGAAATCTTCGGCAGTACGCACCCACTGGGGTTCAAACCCAAGACTTTCCGGTTACAATGCAAGCTCGTATACCATTCAGCCGCTGGGACCCGATTTAACGGCTTATGAATTCGTGATCAACTCGTAGAAACAAAACTAACCCTTACAAACCAACTATAGAAAATTAATCTGATGCTCGCCAGTGACTTGCTACAGAATGGAGTTTCCTGGAGTTCCATTGGGAAGTCGTGACCAGTGAGGTCCATCCGGATGTCACGTGTGAGGATGGATATCCCACCGACTAAATTGGTTGGAGTCGCGCTAAATCACGAGTTGTTAGAAGTTAGAATTCATGAGCCATTGAATCGGGTCCCGGTGGCTGAACGGTATACGAGCTTGCATTGTAACCGGAGGGTCCTGGGTTCGAACCACACCCTGTGGGTGCGTACTGCCGATGATTCCCAAGCACTAAGATGAAATAGCTGTCCAGTACTCCCTGGTGGTTTCCAATGGTTCTCTAACTGATATCAATCCGTGATCAACTCGTAAAAGCAAATACATTACACGACTCAGATAAATTACCTCTTCTTATTGCTTTGTCTAAATTCATAAAGAGAACTAACTGTTTTAAAAGTTGGTTATTGTGTTTCGTATTCAGTATGTTAGGTGTAGTCTTCTGTATTCAGCGATAGGTTCAGGATGCTTGTGATCTGAACATTAAACAAGCTGTTTCTGTCAGTACTGATGGTCAAATAGCGACAAGGCATAAGCAACAAGGAATTGTAACAACCAAATATCCAACAGTCTATTACCCAACTAATATTCAGAAGGCAATGAAGATAGGTCGGATACACGACAATGAGATCTTCAAATGACATGAGAAGCCAGACCATCAAGTCGGAGGTGAATGGGAACTGACGAGCTGGGAGTTCTGTGGTAGAGTGTAATTCCATTATGGGTAAAGTTTATTTTGATAGAGTCTCACAGTGTTATACAGTATGATATGATTATGAGCAATAAATTGTGCTCGAAACGTCATCAGTAAATATTACTGTATAACACTGTGAGACTCTATCAAAATAAACTTTACCCATAATGGAGCTGGGAGTTCGTCCAAGGATGATATGGAAAAAATAATGTGAAGAAGACGAAGAAGTGGCAGCTCGAGGGAGGTCGTATATCCAGTTGAAAGCGGTGAAACTGAACCAAGTGCAATGGAGATATACCTCTAAAGCTCTTTGTTCCATCCACTCTGAGTTTAATTATGCTCAGCTGAAGGTCTATGACCCGAAACATCAGCATTTAGTTACAAGTGGATCAACACTCAAAGACTTACATTTTATAACTTTTAAACAATATCAACTAATGATTACAATTTAGAAAGAAACTACCTGTTTAGGTTTTCGACTTAAAAAATTTGTCATATCCAAGATAAACGGGAAACTGCATAATTTTTCTAATTTTACTGATTGCATTATTTCTGCATCAAAATAAAACCGTGAAAGGGAGAGTGTTAAAATCGGTGGAAGTTCTTCAAAACGTGTCACCTGTCAACAACAAGAAGAAGAAAAAGAGGAAAGAAAGATTAAAAGAATAATTCTCATTAGTCAACCTCTCTCTCTTTCTCCACCAACCTATATTACTGTTTAGAATTTTGACTGTATCTTACCATGCTATTGTGTGGTTGTGTGTTAATGCGTGCAGTGTGATTGCTGAGTTTTCTTCTAAATTACTTATCTCCGTGGGATCAATCATTCTAACCTTAGCTAAATTCGTATGTTCCGACAATCTGACTACCCTCGACCTACTAGTTTGACCTATGTAGTTGACCTCACTCACAGTCATTGCAAGGTATTTCGTAAATTATCCTTTAGCCTACAGAGCTTGTCCTACCTGAGTGATTTTGTAGGTTTGAATGCCACCCTAATTCCTGCTTTACTGAGAATCTTACGTAGGGCCTCAGATATCCCCTCCTTATATGGTAAAACTGTAGATGTCTTATATTCTCTCTTATTTATGTTATCATTATTAGTTTCACTATTATTTTTATTTTACTTTTGACCTTTTTTGATCTTCTTAATCAATTTTCTAGGATAGTTATTTAACACCAACGCTTCTTCTTCTTCTATCTGTTTCATTTCATCGTTTAGGTCATTTTATTGTGCTACTTAGTGAACTGTTAAAACCACTAAGAAAAATTATTACTAATCTTAATTTTTAAAATAAAGTAAAGCCAAATAAAACGTAGGGGATAATTTACCTTCAATGCATCCACTTTTCTTTGACATGTATCACAAAAGTATTGATTATCACCAGTCAGTTGTTCCACTTGTGTATGTGCTGTTAATGAATCTTCAACAGAATCATTATCAATTACTGAGAGATTGATATCTTGAAATTCATCCTGTTTTATTATTGTCATTATTAGTGTAATTTAAAACTTACCTACATTTCTTTCACTAATTCTACCGCATCTTGAACATTGAATCTGGTGTGAATAGATGAAAAACAATTGAATATTGAATTAAACAAATAAGTGGAGAAAAATCACAGAATTCTTTCTCATTAGAGGACATAAAACAAGGAATTTGGGTATATACATCAACTGATTACCAAATAATAGGTGCTTATGTGTAGGTGAAGTGAAATAAATTGTTAGAATATATACTTAGCTTGAGATATTGAACTATTGGGGAAGGCATATAGCTTAGGTGGATGTTTTGTTTCTGGTAATATCTATTGAGTTCGATGGTTTGAATTGAAAAGCATTTGTTGTCCTCCAGGGTATACGGATAGCCTCATAATCTGAGGATGACGGGTGCACATTCCTGAAGAGTTCTATACTAGGACGAAACAGATTTCAAATGCTGTCTGGTGTTCAATGGTCCACGAAATGACACTGATTCGTGATATCACTTGATATTTATAAATCATACATTTAGAAGTGAAAATTCACTAAGATTGATTTCAACTAATTCAGTTAACCTGCTTGAGATTCAGTGGATACATCGTCGATGAGTTAGGTTTCAAATAAGCGATTGGGTTGTTCAGTGTTTAACCCGCTTCAGTCTGACTAATAAGCACCACTGTTTAACTCAAGTGGTTTCCAACTATTCTTATGGAATCCGTAGTATATTCTAATTCACCAAAAGTGGTATTTGTGTTTCTTTACTATAAGAAGTAAATAGACTATACTAAACCTCCTTGATTATCTCATCCCTCAACAGTTGTACGACAGTGCTGCATACCGAGTAATCCACAACGAGAAACTCACGAAATCCTTCTAAGTGAAGACGGGAGTAAGACAAGCTGACTGCATACCATCTCCGATGATTTTCCTGATTGTGGCAGACTAGATAATGCAAGAGACAGCGGGACAGGTAGCGAGGAAACAGGCATAAAATGGACCAACACGAAATACTTGGGGTATTCGGACTTCGAATTTGATATATGTCTGATTTCGCACAAACTGGAAGATATGCAAGTGAAAAGCAACAAGTTGGTATAAGAAGCATCAAAGATAGGACTTCACTTCAGGTGGACATAGAGAAAACAGAGGTGATGATGAAGATTCCTGCCCAACAACAACAACAATGACAACAGCAGATGACAATCAGCATAAATGGGAGAAATCCGAAGGAAGCAATCTCCTTCACCTACTTACCTACCTACCTACCTACCTACCCGGGAAGCATCGTTTCAACTACAGGTGGACGGAACTGATGAGGACATCAAAGTGAGGATCATCGGGAAAGCAAGGAAAGCTTTCATTACTCTCAAGTCTGTATGGAGATCAACACTCAGCACTCAACTCCCATGTGAAGTCAGTTCTACTTACTGTACGGATCAGAGACTTGGCCAGCGCATCACGAAGGGCACTTCGAGCAAACTACACACCTTCATCAACAGCTGTCCTCGCTCAGTACTTCGCTGAAGATCAGATGATCGGCCAGAAAAGATGAGCAATAGTTAGGGATCTCTGGGAATGAACGAACCAACCCAGTAGGAACCAATTGTGCAAGAAATATGTAGGAAGAAATGAAGGTGGATTGGATTGGCCATACTCTGAGAAAACAAACCATCAAGTTAGTGACATCACACGCCAGGCCATTGCTCGAGTGGAACACTAGCGGAAAGCGGCGTCGGTCGTCGGTACGAGGGTGTCATGGAGGTGGTCAGGTGAAGTGGAGATGGAAGCATGTGGGCAGACGTGGAGCTGGGTGAAAACGTTGGCAGAGAACCGAACGTAATGGAAACGTGCGACTAAAGGCCTATGTTCCACTAGGAACTAACAGAAACAAGAATAATATATAAACAATCTGATTTAGCTAGTTATTAAGAAATATGTTATCCACAACGCTATAAATTACGCTAGTCGTACAATGTTTAGTGACAGTACTTAGACATCCGGGTTAAATTAGGTATGGTACGATTCAGGCATAGGACTTACTGAGCTGACAGCTAAATACTGAAATCAGGGAAACACAACTAAACTAAGTGATTCATCATTTTGGTGCACTTTAAAATGATTTTAGGTGATTCCTGGCAGTTGAGATAAAGCTTAAGTTTTGCACTTGTTTGCACTCGTCAGTAAGGTGTATCTGCAACCTAGAATCCTCGTCACCCTGTGCTGTAGCCATACACATCAAAACTCAGTTATTCAAGCTTATTATTATTCTTAATTAATAATACATCAACGACCACTAGGCCACAGTTTCTTTGATTTCTGTGACTCTTCATGAGGGCTTACTTATGACATCACAGAGGGGTAAATTAGAACCACTCGATCTCATAATTTTTAACATGTTTTCAATGTAGATTTTTTTATAAACCAATAAAAGTGAGAGAAACACTTAAAATCAGGGAGTACTAGACAGTCACTTCATTCCACTTTGGGACTCTTCATTGGTAGGCACCGATGACCACACCGATGGGAATCTAACCCAAAACTTTCAGGTTACAAGCTCAAGTTCAGTGACCACCTGTCCATCCACTTGAACAGGAATTCAAAGACTTGTGTGTTCTTAATTCATTTCGTTAAATACAGTTAGAATTCATGAATCGTTGAATTCCGATCCCCTTGGATGAATTGTATACGAGCTTGACCTCGTAACGTTTAGGTTCCAGTCCAATTTTTGGTATGGTCTTAAGTGTTCAATGCTGAAGAGTCCCAAAGTAAGGCGAAACATCTGTTCAATATTCCTGGCTATCAGTGATCTCTGTGATTAATGTCGATTTGTGACGAAATGTACAGTGAAGCTGATTCAAATCCCTACAAAAACTTATAATTTAATATGATTATTAAATAGAAATGTAATCCTAACTACACTACTGACAAATAACATTAACGGTAGCAAATAACAGCATTATTCGGCTGATATCAATCTTTTGACATTTGGTTTCGTGTTGATGTACTGATGGCGGCTGTTTAGTACTGTAGACTTGAATTTTTCATATGATTTATTGGACACTGCAGGAAACTCGCGAATAGCCTCAAAGCCGCTGACACTTACTCACGTTTTCCTACCAAACCAGAAAAATACGTTTTCAACTACTCTAGTATATTATTGACTCCTGTCCAATTGCAAGCCTTGTCGTTGGGTTCAAAATTCTGTGATATTTCGACAAGTTCGAGTGACTTGGATATTAAAGTCCAGTTTGAAGCACTGATCCAACAGACAAATGACCTTCCTGCAGTGTCCAATAAATCATATGAACAATTCAAGTCTACAGTATTAATAGCATTATTATTATTACTACCAATGATAACAATGATAATAGTAATGATCATGATAATTTACCCGTGTACATTGAATTCCACGAAATAAATCATTGATTAAATTCATTTCTGGTGTATCTTTCAAGGCGATTTCAATCTGTTCAAATAATAAACGATTCAACTCTTGGATATCTTGATGTACACATACCTATTCAATGGTAGAAACAGAAAGGAACAGAAGATGAAGACAAAATGGGAGAGACCAAAAAGACAGAAAAAGAGAGAAAAGATAAATGGGGAAATGCAAACATACAGAGATGACAACTGAATAGTTTATTTATATATCTAAGCCTGTAACATTCATTGTTCGAGAGGTTTCTGGCTGTTTTTGTTGATAGTAGAAGCTCTTACTGTATACCAGGGAAACTTTGAACTATGTATATAAAAACCAGTTTACTACCGTTACATTAAACCTTTTTTGACTTCTAAATTGATTTGTTATGTAATCCATCTTCATTTATTCTTATTTCAAACTCCTAAGATGAGGCAGTAACTCGTCGAAGAAGACATTGTGAAGTGGTCGCACTATGTCATGAATTGGAAAAAGTTAGAATTCCTGGGTTGGCCATTGTTTCCAGTCCCAGTGGCTTAATGGTCTACGAGCTCTATGAGCTTGAAGGTCCTGAGTTCAAACCCTGGTGGTGGGTGCGTACTGACGAAGAGTCCCAAACAAGGACGAAACAACTGTCCAGTACTCCCTGGTAGTTTTCCTATGGTTTTCTAACTTATCTCAACTCATGATGAAATCCTCCAACCAATCAAACTCCTAACTTTAAGACTGGTCACAATCTAACTTCAGTTAGAGTTAGAGTCACTGAAAAAGAGTTATTACTGGAGAGCTGAAGGCTCTTCAGCAGTACCTACCCAGTATTCTACCACAGATTGAACGCAGGACCTTCAGATTACTTGGCGAGCTTACTGACCATTCAGCCACTGGGATACAATGCATTGGCTAATCCATTTCAGCTTCTGACAATTCACGAAACATAGACCAACCATCAGCCAATGTCATCAGAGCGTATTTGTCGTCAAACTCAACTTCGTAGACCCAACTGTTCTGATAACGACTGTTCACCAGAACTCCACGCAACTTCGTCATGTAGTCAGTCACTAGTCAGTTCGAATACCATTGCAACTCAGGGAACCCTGAACAGCAGTTTCGTGCTTGTGTTAAGACCCTTCAACCGTATACATCCAGAGATACTTCATAGATATATTTCAAGGTATCTTACTCTTATGAGCAATTTCCTTCTTATTTTCAGTCTCTTGCATTATGAGAGGTTGTCATTTCTGAAAGCTATTCATCACTTAATGCTTTATGTTTTACATTACATAAAACAACTTAGGCAAGTTTCTCAGTTTTATGCTTACTTCATCTTCTGTCCAACCGAAACTGTCTGTTAACGGCTTTGAGGAGATTGCACCGCCATTAGTTGTTATCAATGCAGAGAATAAATTGAGCATTTCTTGTATCATCTATTTATTGCATCAAAAATAAAAATGAGAAAAACAGTGGAAGGGAGGAGAGAGAAACAGAGGGGGGGAGGGAGAAATAAATTATTGATTCAATAAATTTTATGCAATTTACACGTCTCAAATTTCTTTTGCCGACAATTCTTGCCAAACTGAATAAACGATCTGTTCAAAAAGGAGAAGAACAAAGAAAAAATTAAGAGAAGCATGATTAGATTTCATCACAATGTGATGTTAGTAAGAGAATTTGTCATAACGGAGTTTTAGTGATTTGTTACAGGATTTCATTATGAGCTGATATCGGCTCGAGAACTATTGGGAGACCTGGGAACATTGGACCAGTGGGGTACAGGAAGTCAGGTGTGAGGACATTGGCTAGTCGTCGCGCTATGTCGTGAATTGACAGAAGTTGGAATTCATGGATTGGCCACTGGATCGGGTCCCATTGAATGAGTGGTCTACGACTTCACCTTGTAACTGGAGGGCTCTGAGTTCGAACCCTGGTGGTTGGTGTGTACTGAAAGGAGAGTCCCAATCACGATGGCGAATCAGCTATCTAGTGCCCCCAGGTTTTCTAATGGTTCCCTAACCTATGTCAGCTCATGGCAAAATCCTGTGACCAATCAAATCTCTGAATATCAACACTTGATTATTAGTGATTTGTTGGTTGTTGTCCAACCTGGCTAGAATGTACCTCCAGACACCGCACCATAGCTAACTGATTGCTTGAAAATATTCCTCACAATGAGGTAGACACAAAAGTCAGATTTAATTGAGACAGTCACGATAAAATGTTGGATATATATATATATATCGTTGACACATCCATGGAAATTTAAACCACAAATAGATTATCAATGTCTGACTGGTTGCATGACTTTGAAGGTCCCTCGAAAATTATCCATTCGAAAACCATCCAGTCAGGTTGTCATGTCAGTATATGTATCAGTCATGTCTTCATCGCTAACGACAACAGGTCGTCCGTCCTCATACCTCTGTCTATTAAAACTTTCAATTGGGGGACCACTGGAAGATATTCGTACATCAGGCTTATCTTCGCTTATGATACCTTTCTTACCTTCCGAAAAGTTGCTTCGTGCACAGTCACTATGTTTGTAGAGGAAGTTGAATACTAATGTATTTTCCGCAAAAATTTTACCTGGTTCCACTGTCTTGCTGTTATTATATAGTGTTTCAAAACCAGTGATGCATTCACGCTCTTTGGGTGTCGATTTTTTTTGACCTTGTCATGAAAACTAAAACTTAGTTATTTCAATTAATGCTTATATTGTGGATGGTGCAGATTGATAGGAAGCGGCCAAAATTGTTATGAACAATTTTAAGTCAATGACTGCACAGTTAGAAGCATTTGGCTGCATCAAAGAAATTACTACACGCATAACGCTAGTTACTAGTGTCCAATCAAAGTATCCACTACAGTCTTACAGGCAGCCAGTCGCGAGCCCAAATAGCTGTTCAGTGGTAACGTCTCTGACTTCAGCACTGGGTAGCGCGGATTTGAATCTCAGAAGGGACATGAGTTCCTTCGAGGTAGCAGATACACCTTGATGACTGACGAGCGCCAACAAGCACGAAACCCAGGTCACGACAAGGCTTCTTGCCGATTGCCTCCAACCATCTAATATCATCAAATCAATGTACACCGTGATGGCGAGCTACCTAGTGGCATGATGGACACATTGCAAACCTGACTGACTGATAGAATTCAGTCTGGACTAAAGAAAGGACTAGACATATCACACTAGTTACTAGTGTCCAACCATAGAAGCATTTGTTCCTCTTCAAATCTGGATTTATTTTACGTTGTGGACATGAAATGACCTCATTGGACAAGGTTTTTTGTCTTGGGTCAACCGCCAACCAATCAAATCAAACAAAGGCTAAAAATGTAAAAATATGTGTTCTTCCTTAATAAATCATCTCATCATACCAGTTACAATATTTGATTCACATTTTCATCTGAGTAATTAACATCCCGCCTAAAACACATCCAAAAGTATTTTGACCAAGTTTCAGAAGTACAGTAATTCAAGTTACCACATTCTATGCAGCACACACACAGGTAGGCAAAATAAAGAAAAATTCAAAAGAATTATAATGGGAGGAAATGTACGGAGGTAAGAGTAGCCACATGGAGAAGCATCAGGAATTAAACGATTTGAATGGTCAAAAAGAGTGAATGCATCTCCGTCACTTACAATGATTTTGAGTCATATCACTAATTGTTTGAGCCTATTGATTTTTAGTGTCTCGAGGACCACAACAAGGCAGTCTACACACCCCTTAAACTGACTTAAACCAACATTAAAAGGCTAATAATATTAATCACTTTATTCTAAACCATAATAATTATACAGAATGGAATTTTCAGCTTTTCTATACAGATTGCAACAGTTTAACTCCTTTCATCGAGGTCAGATCGTTAGAGGCAATCGGCAGGAAGCCCGGCTTTACCTAGTCCTGTTTTGGACCGAGGACCTTCCGGTTATAAGGCAAGCTCGTATACTATTCAGCCACTGGGACCTGATTCAACGACTACCCCATGAATTCTAACTTCTACCAATTCGTGATTTAGCGTGACCACCAACCAATAGGTGCGTAGTGCCTATGATTCCCAAATCAGGATGAAACAGCTGTCCAGTACTCCAGTGCTGGTTTTCAATGGTTCTCTAATTGATATCAATCCATCGTCAAACTCGTAAAAAGTAATAATAATACCGATGATGAAGCCACCGCTATAAACAGAAGGTTGGCAGAGACATAATGAAGTATAAGTAGATAATATCACAGATAATACATGTAATAATAGTGATCTTTCCTTATACTTTGCAGTCCAGTTACTGATTTAAAAAGTTCATAAGTTCTTTTCTGACATCTGACTTTCTCTTTACACAAAACCCATGCTAAGTGTGGTGGTATGGTCGAATTTCTGTATTTAGTAGCTGTACTAGCGTAAACTCTTATGAAGTTTCTTCTGGTTTCACCCCCGAAGATATGCAAGGAAAAAGTTGCTAAGAAGGAGGATGTTCAGTATCAGACAAGATAACATTCGCCAACTGCTTGGAAGAATTGACGTGCCTTTTGATAATAATGTCAGTTAGCTGCGTCAGAGGAACACACCACTAATCCTACTTACAACCTTCAAAGTTCTGCGTAATATCAAATAGTCTTTTTTTGAGAAGTTCAGGGAAGAATAATGGAGAACAATAAAAAAAGAGGAATGGGTAGAATACATAAATTAGTAAACTGTGACAGAAGGAAGAGGTTGAGGTATATCATCAGAGAGTTTCAACTTCTTTATGTAATAAGTCAAGCGAAATATTTTCTTAGAAATCAACAGTGTATGAGACAATCAACAGAGATTTAAAGAGAAACTGATGCCGAGATGAGAGATATTCGATGTACTCCTTACGACAGTGCCGTCTATATTACACGAATGGTGCAACTGAATCGGTCAGTCCACGCAAGTCTTGGTTGCATCTGAAACTAAATTCAAAATTATGACACTTAGATGGATTCAGTTTAAGACCATTTAGGTGAAACCATCCGTTAATTTCAAACAGGAATCTATTCATATATATGAACAATACAATAAAGAAACTACCTGCATAGAAATGGTTAGAAAATCGACATATTTATTGATGTTAACTTTGGAAGAATGTGGAAGGTTATGCAAAAAAAAGAAAACAGGAACGGAGAGGGTACAGCACCTTGAGGCTCGCCAGTTTCTATTAGCAACGAAGTGGAGAGCTTTCCATTCAAAACAGTATGTTGTTTTCTACCTGAAAAATAGGAAGATAGCCAGCCACCTTGTGACCCAGGACTCAGTATTTGCTAAATTCAGCTTGTTTAGTAAAAGTACCCGAAGAATAGTGTCAAAAGCAGCAGTGTAGTCTAAAAAGGAGACTCGAACAGACTCTGAGCCTTTATCAAAACTTGAAAGAATATTGTGGTGAAGTACAACGACCGCATCTAAAGTATATGTGTAAAACTTGGGCACTGTGGTAGTAAGTAATTCCATATTAGTTTGTTTATTAGATGTATCACACAATGAAACAGTATTACTATTTACTGGATGACACAGTTTCGAACACAGTTCATTAATGTTCATAATCATATCATCAATTATAATCACACGACTTCGAAACTTGAGTTTTATAGTTTTCTTTGTTCCCTCCTATTTGTCGTCGTTGGGGTAGTAGAATTTTCTAGATGTCCGTCTGGGACAGATGTTGAATCATTCCTATTACACTTATTTGCAGTTGATTACCCACAACCATACAATAAGATGGGTTAAGATGACGGTTTTAAAATCCAATGTAACACCAGGTTGGAGGGAGGGGTTGATAACGGAAGCTCTGTTTATCGAATCAACTGCGATGAAATACGTGTAATAGGAATGATTCATCACCTGTCCCCGACATCTGGAAAATTCTACTACCCATACGACAAATAGGAGAGAACAAAGAAAACTATAAAATTTAAGTTTCGAAGTCGTGTGATTACAACTGATATGATTATGAATAAAAATGAATTGTGTTCAAAGCTGTGTCATCCAGTAAATAATACTGTTTCACTGTGTGATACAAGTGATAAACAAACTTATATGCATCTAAAGTACTTCTACTGTATTTGTAGGCAAACTGCCAACCACAGGTTGATCGCCCTGAACCATTTACGAACCTGAACCTTTGTCAAGTAACATTTACATTCCTTAATATTATCCAAAATGGATATGATACTTTAACACTAATATATAACTTACATGTAAATTCTGGTGTATGAAGTAACGTTTGTAACAGAGTATTCAAATAACATGTTCCACCTTGATTCAATAATCCAGTCAGTTTATGTCTTGGTTTCCATGACCATGGGAAATCTGGATCTTGTATATTTTGTTCTACTGAACTATCTGATTCATGCCTAATCAAGTGATTTGAAGGCAACATATGTCAGTATCTTGCATTTTCTATCATTTAAGGTATTCTACATCCAACATCATTATAGTGCATATCTCTTCCTCTGATAATAATAATAATATAGTAAATTGAAATGTAGCAAATTCATAGAAAATCAATAATTTAAAATCAATATTACCTGTTGTTCGGAAAGGTATAAACATATTAACGATGGATTACTTACTAGAAGGTTGGTTGAGGTTGTGTCTTTCGAAATATTAAAATATTATTTTAATACGTAATTCTCTGTTGAATTCTTCCTTTAAAATTTCTATTATGACTAATTAGGGAACCTCCTATCGACCAAGGGAGGTACACATTGCTCAGTAGCTATCTCTATCCCTTTTTATGGATAGAAAGCATGACCATTGAAAGTGGAAGACCTGAAGGGGTTGGCCGCCTGTGAACACAGATTTTTGTGATCTATTCTCCGTGTTAAGTAACATAACACGGTGAGTAATATCGAGGTTAGACATAGACTGTTAGGTAAGAAGGGTAAATCAATCGAGGGAGTTGTGAAGTTACATTAGTTGAAATGTTGCTCATTCGAAGCTGACGCCTTCCTCTCCGAGCAATTTTAGCTGATATATGTCTAGATTTGAAAAGAGTTAGAGGGTTGTGTCAAGTCAGAATATGGGACCAGTCCATGATGTCTTTGACAGTCAGTTTTAGCTAGTCACCTAAGAAGGTGTGAGCTATCTGGTTGGGGATCTTCGGGATTCTAAGAATCAATTAAGTTCTCACTTTTCTCCATGTTACTACTCTTACTCTCGTACATTGCTGATTATTGAAGCTCATTCAAATTTCATACATTTATTCCCCTTAATGAATTTGAATAAAGCAAGAACAACAGTTTTTGCAGAATAATATGGTACCATCATTGTTTTATTTCGTTGGCTTCTCAAGTAACAACAGAAGGCAAGACACGGGAGCCAAGGTATATTTTCATTAATCATACCGCTATTTATATATCTGCAGTTTATATTCGTTACCCAATCACTGAGCATGTGATTTCGGTTTACACCAAATACAATGTTCAAATATACACTGTATTCTGTTGCCAATGCAGTATTGAACTGCGGGAATAACATTCCGACTCTAACATCAAATCGAATGTTCGAACAGATATATTGTAAGCACTATTGAACTGTGGAAATATGTGAGCATAGCATTCCGTCCGCACACATTGTCTGTATCACACCACTACACCCGTTCCCTCGTCAGAACTTTCAACTGAAGTTGGTTGGATATTCTTGGTGCTGGCGGTTTTGTTGGCTTGTCTTGCTGTGTTAAGTTCTGGAGCTCGCTGACGTTCACTCGCTCCTCTTTGTTTGCATTTCTGATCGTATATACGCGACCCCGTCTCACGACGACCACGTATGGTCCTTCCTACTTTAGGAGAAGTTTGCAAGACCCTGGCGCGTATATTCGCCAGTGTTTCGCCTCACACTACCATATGTTGCCATCATCCGACCTCCCAGCAGCGTTCCAAGTAACAGCGTCATCGCTGACGAATCCTGAACGCCACTCAACTGAGTAACAGCCTCGAAGTCTTGCCCGAATATCTCTCTCTTTTCTGTATCATTGTGTACTATATGGAGGGAGTGTGGTCAGCTGAACTGGTGCACTTTTGTCCTAAATTCTGTGCTGAAAATGAGTCTGTCAGAGAACTAGTGCTGTGATGTATGAGCTGCTGATTAGGATTTGTAAATGGCACACTGCGCGACATCTTCTACAAGCATCTTGTTATCATAGACTTAGATACTTCAGCTAGTCTTCCTGATGAGTCTGACTTCTTATCGCAAGCCTGGGAAAGAATTGGAGTAGACTGACCATTGCTTTTCCATCCGCTGTAACAGTCACTGATTATTATTATTATTCTCATGGGTTCCGATTCGAAAATAGGGCTGGCTTCAACAACACATCTCCACTTTCTTCTATTTTCTACCGTCCTCTTCATCTGCCTAGCTCCACGATCGGACATAATCTGTCATCTCTTCCAAATCTCATGATCTCCTCTAAGTCAACCCCGCACCGGCGACCCACTCGTAACTTGCCATTGGGATTCCACTCAAGCAATGGCCCGGCGCACCATGTCATTAGGCAGCCTCCTCAATGTATGCCCAATCAATCCATCTCCATATTCTTCTACATATTTGTTGAGCGATTGGCTCTTGGTTGGTTTGTTCCCAGAGAAAGTTTCTTGTCGCTAATTCTTTCTGGCCGACAGGCAATCTGGTCTTCACTACGGAGCCGGCGGAGTGGGCAGCTATTCATAAAAGTCTGCAACTTGTTCGAAATCCTTTTCGTGACATGCACGCCAAGTTTCTGACCACTATAGAAGGACCAATTTCACATTTGTGTTGAAAATCTGAATCTTGTTCGTTATGCTGAGTGCAGGAGATTTCCAAACTGGTTTCAGGTTGATGAAGGCGTATCTTGCACTTCTGATTCTGATTTTGACATCTTCACCCGTGCCGTTTGCCTGTGGTTGAAACCGTGCTTTCTCGCCAGATAAGTGAAGGAAGTAACCTCTGTCAATTCGCTCCTCTTGATGGTGATTGGGACTAGTTTTTGTTATTTTTGGTTGGTTGATAATCTTCATCACCTCCGTCTTCTCTAAGTTCACCTGCAGTCCTGTCTTCACTGGCTGCCTCAACAGCCAGTTTGTTGTTTTTCGACTGCAAGTCTTCGAGTTTGTGTGACATCAGACATCTGCAAAATCCAGATCATCTAGGGTCTTCTTATCGGTCGTTCAGCGTATTCCTGTCTCCTCGCTTCCTATGCACAGTCTGACGTATAATCCAGTCCACCACAATTAAGAATATCATCGGTGATAAAAGGCAGGCAGCAGCCTTATCTTGCTCCTGTATTAACTTCGAATGCCTCACTGAGTTTTCTGTTGTGGATCACCTGACAAGTGGCATTGTCATACAGCCAGCTGTTGAATAAGGTTGATAAAGACTTGGGCTCTGCACGCCGTAGTAATGAAGTATTTTCCAAATTGCTTCTCGGTCAACGCTGTTTGGTGAAGGCCTTTTCGAAGTCGATGAAGTTGAGGTGGAGAGAGGTTTGACTGCGATTCTATCCTGTGATGACGATGTGTAGAGTTGCAATTTGATTAGCACATGTTTTGCTTCTCCTGAATCCAGCTTGTTCCGGTGGGCATTGTTCATGGGCCACTGGATAGAGTCCCAGCGACTGAATGGTCAATCAAAGGACGTGTAAACTGGTCAGCAATTCGCTGCATCCTTCTTATAGTTGTGAGTGAGACATAGTCATCGGAAGTGGAAGACATGAAAAAGGCTGGCTAGCTGCTTTTGATCATAAGTTTGTGCGTTCTATCTCCCTTGCTAGACGATACAACAGAGTGAGCGATAGTGAGGTTAGGCGTTCACTGCTACATGAGAAGAAAAAATCAATCGACGAGGTTGTGAAGTGGATACATCGGTTGAGATGGCTAGAACGTGTGTTACGCATGACCAGGCGTCGCTCTCCTCGACCGACAGTGTTAACTGACATATGAACTAGTGGTGGTCAAACCAAAACATGACTTCACCAGTCAATGAAATCTATAACATTTGGTTTAAGCTAGCCACATGGGGAGGTGCAGACTCCCTGACTGGTCGAGGTCCCCGAGATGGACAGAAACAACGAAGGCTGGAGACAACTGGTGGTGATATGGCTTAAAATTGTTGTCAAGGGCTGGCGCAGATGCATTCAATCTTTGTGATTTATCATATCCAATAAAACAGTATTGGTCTTGCATATTACCTTCTTTTACCCTTACACTTTTGTTTATTATTTCTTTTGAATCTGCCTTTACTTTGTTCTCGTACTTTGTGGATTACATGGAGGGAGAGTGGCAAATTGAACTGCTGTATATTTGCGCGAAGTTCTATATTGAAACCAGGCGGTCAGTAAGAATGTTCTACGAGCTCACCTTGTAACCAGAGGTTATCGGGTTCAAACCTTGTAAGTGCGTGCTGATGATAAGTCCCAAACTAGGTCAAGACAACTGTGCAGTACTCCCAGCTGGTTTTTCAATGATTCTATGAATGCTGTCACTTCCTAATCAAACATACAAATGAGAATTTGGCAGAAGCTTGTAGCGACTTTGACACCATCATGGCTAGATAAAGACTCTATGAAGGTTAAGTTTAATGTCTCACTGCTAACCGGCGACCACTTGAAGGATCGAATCCAGGATCTTGAGGTGACGAAGAGAGTCCCCGCTGACCATTCATTCACATGGTTAAATAGTTTTATGATGTTTAAATAGGTCTTATGGTATATACTACTGAGTGACTGATATGAGTAGTCGGGTACCAGTCATATAAATCAGTAATGTTTTCAAGACAGATTGGTGTGATTTAAGCACTGGGTAACCGTTTCGCTGGTTTGAGGTCAATCTTATCAGAGATGCAGCGGATTTGACTAGGCTCAGACAGCCGAATCAGTTCAAACCACCCATACGTCGGTGGCACAGCGGTTAGAACGCTCACCGACTATGCACATGGTCCAGGGTTCGATCTATGGCCGACGCACATCTGATATCAGTGGTCGGCCTGTTAAATTTGGTCTACCGATATCACATGCTGAAAATTCCATACTTGTATCAAAAATACTGTATGGAGTCAAGCTATAATAAAATAAATAAATTTTGACTGGCTATTGGCAATATATTGGTTTGAACTGATTGGGTTCACTAAGCTAAGTCAAACCAGGTACGCACACATGATTACCTCAATCCTAAATGAGCGAAACGGTAGCCTTGTGTTTAAATCATATCGATCTGCCTTGTAAGCACTACTATTTGATGTGAATGGTAACCATTTATGGTACCGTGCAGGTCACATATGTTTTGATGGTGAAACTTCACTTTGAACTTAGTTCACTGCAAATCGCAAGTTAAATAAGCCTATAAGAATAAAACTTATGCACTGTGTTGGTATAGTATAATTCCATTATGGGTAAAATTTATTTTGATAAAGTCTCACAATGTTTGTTATTCGGTAAATATTTATTCATGACCATGTTTCGAGCACAATTTATTACTGCTGATAACCATATCAAGGCACTCACTCACACAACTTTCTAACATCGTTTATAAAATTCCATTATTTTTCATCGTTTAACTTGATTGGTAATAGTATTTTTCATATTTCTGGTATGAATGATGAATCATTCCTGTTGCACGTGTTGGGTGTAGACTTGATGAACGAGGATTTAGTAATCAAATTCTCTCTCCTCTCCACCTACCCAAATCACTTCTGAGAAGTTTGACTCTGTCCCATCCACCCTATTGTTTGGTTGTATATTAAGGCATGCAGTGCAATTCCTGAGCTTTTTTATAAATCAGTTATCTTCTCGGGGTCAACCATTCTAACCTTAGGTAAATTCTTATGCTCTGAGAACCTGATTTTGGGTATTGAAACTGTATTGTAGCGTATCTTCAGCTACTGTGAAGGTTTTCCACTCGGCCTTGAAGTTACAAAGGACGTCATTGCACAAAATAATGGTCTGAGCCCATATCTGTTCCTTTTATCGATCTTGTGTCCAGAAGGCTGCAACTCTGCGTTCTTGAGTACTATTAAGATGAAGTCTATCGAATTTTCAATGAGTCTATCTGGTAAATCCCATGTTGCCTTGTGTATATTCTCACATTTGAACACTCGGCCTGCAATCACCAAATCATTAACAATTTCTAAACTCTGTATAGTGTTGATATCATACGAAAGGAATAACAGTGCGATATATGGTATTAACCTACTTAAAAATGAATTCAATTCATATATGATACATAAACTGGTGACAATTCAGAGTTCTTTTTCTGAGTTCTCATGGGAATTTGTCTTTAACTGGATTTGTCCAGTTACCTATCCTACCTATAGTATTTTCAAACCACTTAAACTAGATTATAATACCTCAGCAAGTGATATTGGTAGCCGAAATTTTGCATGCTCACCCTTGAAATCAGGTATGCGTCGGCAGGGGATCGAACCTTGGACCATGTGCATGGTTGGCGAGAGTCGTAACCACTGTGCCACCGACGCAGATAAACAAGTTTATTTTAATAATCACACGCAGTGATGATGCAGTATTAACAACTGGATGACAAGGTTTCGAGCATAAATTACTTCTGCTCATTATCTTATCGAAATAGTCACATGTTTTCACAATTTATCTTGTATATATATATATATATATATATATATATATATTCGGTTAACGATCACCTTACGCTCATCACTAGTGAACGTTAAGGATAAAATAGAAGAAGACAACCAACAGAATTGTGTATACCAAATTAAATGTGGAGATTATGACTACTTTTATATGTAGGCAAGACTTCTAGAAACGTAAATGTAAGCGGAAAACAACATAAGCCATGTCTAAAGATGGTTCCAAAGACCTCACTGGATTTGAAGAAACTAGAAAATCAATCAGCGATTGCATGGCATCAGACAGAAATGCGACACACTATCGATTTGGATAGGACTAAGCTTCTCAAGAAAGGTTTTAGTTCACATAAATAAAGATTGACTGTATAAGCAGTACATGTATGGGTGGACTGCAAACGTTTGAATAGACATGACGTTGTGTTGAAATGTTAACGAATGATATGCAATTGTTCACCCATACACATTATTATGTGTGGACATACATATTTTTTTTCTAATTCAGATTTCTTCCTGCATACCACATTGCCATGATCTTTATTCGAACATTGTTCACTAAAAAGTGAACACTGTTTGCTCGTATATAAGGAATTAGACTAATAATAAGTTTGATTCAGGTTTGATGACGAATTGATATCAGTTAGAGAGTCATAGTAAACCTGGGATTAGTACTAGACATATGTTTCGTCCTAGTTTGGGACTCGTCAGCATTGAGTCGTGTCGTAGTGTCTGAATGGCCCACGAACTTGACTTGTATCTGGAAGGTTTTGCGTCTAAAACCCGGTGTATGCGTACTGATGAAGAGTCCCAAACTAAAGCGAGATAGCCGTCCAGTACTTCCTGGTTTACAATGGCTCTCTAATTGATATTAGTTTTTACTCAAACATGAAATAGATCAAATCCCTAAAAGCAGACTCGTGAAGATAATTATGTGTAATTATCCAGTCAGATCTTGATTACAGTCTATACAAGTTTAATTATTTCGTTTCTGATGACTATTCATGACTCAGACATGATTATCTTTTGGAAAAGAATTTTAAAGACCGGATCTGGCCTGATTTATGTATACCTTTAATACTTTAATTCTGATTAATTTCCCTGAAGAAGATCGAACCAGTTTTCCGAACGATGAAACGTTGGAATTACTGATTTCAATTTCGCTAAGATTTATTCAAGTATAATTTAATTTTTACAAGATATGTTTGCTTTCCACTCAACTACTATAACTGCTGCGGAACTATCAATCAAATTTTAATCAGAGTTTGCGTGAAGCTCAAATTGTGGTGGGAGCTGTCTGCAAGCCAAAATTGTAGAAAACAACATACGTCATTGTTCACATCCCGAATCGGGGTCATGAGAAATAAACAATAACAAAGCTTAACCTTCAGAAACCCACCAACAAATCCTAGTGCACTTAGCGTGTGCAAATACGATTCACAGATGTATGGCTGAACTTTCTGAGAAACGGCTACCAGCAGTACAGAATAGCCTTCAGCAAGAAAACAACCAATCAGAAGACGCTGCTTCTCTGATAATAATAACAAATAATTATGTACAGCTTATGCTCGAGGTATCACCCAGTTGTTAATACTGCATCATCTCTGTGTGATATTTGAAAGCAACTTATTGATATGGAATCACCACCACAGTAGTAATTCAAATCTTAGTAGCATCATAATAATAGAGGTTTTAGGGTTAGTATTTGATTTAAGAGTAGACTGGATTAGTTTTAATTTTGCCTGCTGGTGTCTTACACCCTGATAACTAGAAGTTCATCACTGTTATTAATCAGATTGTCAGCCACAGTTAGTTGCCTTGGTGGTAAAGGGATGTGCTGCCTTGTAATCCAAGTATCTGCCCGAACGTCTAGGCTTTAATATCTGGTAGGTTACAAAGTTTAGCAAAAAGCAATTTAACTAAAGTTTTGTATGTGTTCGAACACAATCTGACACCTGTTAGAGATCCATTGGAAAACCAGTTAGTGCTGGACAGTTGTTTCGTCCTAGTTTGTGACTCCTCATCAGTACTCACCCATCAGAGTTCGATTGCATGACCTTTCAGTTACAAAGCCAGGTTGTAAATTGGAAGTCTTAATCAACGAGGTCCCGTTAGTCACCTGTGACACTGGCTGGCGGATTCACTATGTATTGTGAACTGGTGGGAGTTAGAATTCGTAGACTAGCCATTGAGTCAGGCCTCAGTGGCTAAATAGTCAATGACCTTTCCCCTTGTAAACTGAAGATCCTCGGTTAGAACCCTGGCGGCGGGTACATACTACTGAAGAGTCCCATGCTAGGATGAAATGGTTCTCCAGTACTCTCTGCTTGGTTTTCCAGTGGTCACCGCACTAGGGCCAGTTCGTGATCAGAAAAATCTGTCCTGAGGATTTCATCATGAGCTGATATCAGTTAGAGAACTATTGGAAAACCAACTGGGAGTACTGGACAGCCAGCTGTTTCGTCCTAGTTTTTGACTCTTCATCAGTATGCGGGGTTTGAACCTAGAAACTTCCAGTTACAAGGCAAGCTAGCACATAGATATACATGGCAATACTTGAAAATCAATGAGATGGTCACTAGTAACTGGTCCTTTTCAGGTAGGTGGTTACCTGGGATCTAGTGGGAATTTGTGACCAGTGGGGTACAGCAGGTTATGTGTGAGGACATATACTCGCCACGGATAACATGGGCTATCGGTTGCACTGTGTTATGGATTGGCAGAAGCTGGAATTCATGGGCTGGCTGCTAAGTTGGGTCCCAGTGGCTTAGTAGTCTACCAGCTAGCTTGCCTTGTAATCAGAAGTCCTGGGTTCAAACCGCTGTGTTGGGCGCGCACTCTGAAGAGTCCCAAAGTGGGAAGAAACAGCTTTCCAGTACTCCCAGTTGGCTTTCCAATGGTTCTCTAACCGATATCAGCTGATAAGGAAATCTTGTAACCAATTCATCAAATCCCTACAAATCAATATTTTATACATACATATATGTGTATATTTAATTTTTTAGATAATTCACTCTCCTACACTAAAACAACCAAAAGTATACATAAATATTTACAAAGATTAACCAGAAATGATAATATCCCTTTGACAATTAAATGTAATGAATATACCAAAAATCCTCAATTATTTATTGATTTTGTGCATAAAATTGAACATTGGTATGAAAACAATGAAAAAATGTATCTACATTATATGAATGTATATAATCGTGATATTATTACAGAGATAGAATTTAAACTTGCCTTAAAAAGTATGCAAATATCATTAAATGATACAGAATTACACCTACTCTATCTACTGTTAAGTCCTAAGCAAACCAATCAAGTACAATGGAGTCGATTAAGTGAAGTTATATGGAAGGCAACTGAAAAAATCTATACAAAAGATCAATTCAAAACAATGGATATTACAAATGAATGTAATTGGGTATTGTGCAAGTTTAAATCATCTAGTTTAAGTATATTTGGTATTAGTACAGTATTTGAAGAAGTTATTACACTTGACTATACAGGTTTAATGATTAAAGAATTAATTAAGTGTAAATTATCTTTGCTACCAAGTAAAGATATTATCTTATATGTAGATCAAATGCGTTCTACACAAACACTGATGCGCAATGGACAAATGCTGTTAGAATTCAATTACTCTGGTGGTCCTAAATGGGATCCAACTGAAATTACATTATATTATGAATTTTCATCAGGATATATTGATTGTCCATTAATTAATTATAATAATTATTATTGTGAAAATAAGAAAAAGTATAAAACACAGTTAGCTAGGGAAAAATTTAATTCAGTTATATATTGAAAAATAGTTATGAAACATTTTTATGAAGGCGGTGCGGGAAATACAGATTTGCTAACTTTTTGTGATATAAAAAAAATAAAAAAGTTTTCAAAAAGACAGATCAACACATGCACATTTTTCTAGTGATTCTAGAAAGCAAAGCAAAGCGAAGAAGAATAGCAATTGTGTAACGAACATTTAATGTAATTGAACATATTCAATGTTCACTGTCCGATGTTCAATATTCATGTGGTGAATAATGAAAGTTAGGTGAATGGAAAACACCTTTTTGTGTATATCAACACAAATTGTATATTTGACTGATAGAAATATCAATTCAGATGTATACATATGTATATATATATATACATATACATATTGAAATATATTTTAATATATGTGCAAAGAAATCTATATGTTTTGGTTTTGTGTTACACTGACTAGTGACAGAGAGGTGCCTCACTCCTGAACGTTTCATTGTCCATGTCGATTACATCTTTTTCAGAGCGTACTTCATTACACGTGATTCTTCACTATTGATATATATATATATATATATATATATATATATATAGCGTCTACCAGTTTACACATTGGAAGAACAGACATATGTGTTACGTATGCCTAGTCATCGCCTTCCTCGACGGGCAATGTTAGCTGATATAGGGCCAGGCTGGGAAAGAGCTAGCGGCGGTCAAACCAAAACATGGCTTCACCAGTCAATGAAATCCACAACAGTTAGTCTAGGCCACGTAGGAAGGTGTAGACTTCCTGACTGGTTGGGGTCCTCGGGACGGTAAAAACCAATGGCTGGAAACAATTGGTGACATGGCTCAAAATCATCGTTCTCGATGGCTAGCGCAGATGCATCCACTCCTTGTGACTCATGATTTCCAGTGAAACTGTGTTGTTCTTCATTATTACTATTCCTTTGTCTCACACCTCTGTTTACTGTCTTTAATATGCATTTCTCCTAGTTTCTTCTCTTGCTTTGTGTGCTACATGGAGTGTGGCGACTTAAACTGCCGCACATATGTGCAAAGTTCTATGTCGAAAACAGACAGGCAGAACAGAGAGAAGGGTTATTGTCCGCATTTCTGAGCACATACCAAAGAACCTGAGACTATAGTGCTCACAGGCATTCATACAGTGCGACTGAATGCTATCTACTGGACACTGTCCATGTTGTGGAGAATCTAAAGGCGTTCCAAATTATCAACAGGCAAAAGAAACAAATCTAACTTGCTGGAGTTTTCTGAGGCAATCGCCATCAAACGAATAAAAGTCAAATCTATATACGCAGAAAGAGACAGTGGTGAATTTCACACTGCCTTGGTGATAACAAAGGATATAAATTTTACTACGTCATCTGTCCTGTTTGTCTGAATATGACTCACTCTTTGGTTCTTTGGTTCAGTAACCTTTTTTCTTTTATACTCCTTTTACTCAAGCTTTGTTTGTACCCACAAAAATCTGATGACCCCTGTCATTTTGTTTCCAAGCATTATTATATTACTTTCATAATTATCTCCTTTAGTTCCTAGAAGAATATAGGGATTCAGCTGCACGTCTCCATGACGTTAAACTCTCCACCGACGTTTTCACCTGGCTCCACGTCTGCACACATGCTTTCATCTCCTCTTCCCATCACCTCCTCCTTGTCACCCTCGCACTGGCAACCAACTCGCCGCTTGCCGTTTTGATTCCACTCAAGCAATGGACTGGCGTGTGATGTGACTCACTTGATGATTTGTTTTCTCAGAGTATGGCCAGCCAATCCACCTCCATTTCTTCCTGCATATTTGTTTCACAATTGGTTCCTGCTGAGTTGGTTCGTCCATTGTCAGAGATCCCTTCCCTTTTGCTCATGTCTGCTGGCCAGCCACCTGATCTTGAGCGAAGTATTGAGCGAAGACAGATGTTGATGAAGGTTTGTGGTTTGTTCGAAGTGGCCTTTGTGACGCGCCAAGTCTCTAATCCGTATAGCAGCACTGACTTCATATCGAAGTTGAAAATCTGGATCGTATATTTCATGTTGAGTGCTGTTGACCTCCACACAGACTTGAAAGTTATGAAAGCTTGCCTTGCATTCCTGATCCTCGCTTTGATGTTGTCCCCGTCAGTTCGGCGTGTAGTTGAAACGATGCTTCCCAAGTCGGTAGTTGAAGGAGTTTGCTTCTTCCAGATTTCTCTCGTTCATGCTGATTGTTTTCTGTTGTTGCAATTGCTGTTGGTCAGGAATCTTCATCACCTACCTCTGTTTTCTCTATGTTCACCTGAAGTGAAGTCCTATCTTTTATACTTCTACCAACTTCTTGCTTCTCACTTGCATATCTTCCAGTTTATGTGAAATCAGACATATGATCGGCGAAATCGTGATCCTCCAAATGTTTTGTGTGGGTCCATTTTATGCCTATTTCTTCGCTGCCCGCCACTGTATGTCGCATTATCCAGTCTACCGCAATCAGAAAAATCATTGGAGATAGTAGGCAGCCAGCCAGCCAGCTTGTCTTACTCCCGTCTTCACTTCAAAGGATTCCGTGAGTTTCCCGTTGTGGATTACTTGTCATGCAGCATTATCGTACAACTGTTGGACGAGGTGTATAGTTGTTGGCGGCAGTTCGTAGTAGCAAAGTGGTTGTCAAATCACCTCTCGATCGACGCTGTCTGCTGAAGGCGTTTTCGAAGTCGACGAAGTTGAGTGAGATAGAGAGGTGACTGCCATTCCAAGCTCTGTTCAATGATGATCCGTAGTGCTAGGATTTCTCCGATGCGTGACTTGTTTCTCCTGAATCCAGCCTGTTTTGGTCGTAGTTTTTCATCGAGGGCGTGTTTGATTCTCTCCAAGATGGTAGGGCTTATTATTTTGCTTGAGATAGACGGAAGCATTATGCTACACAAATTCTTGCATTGACTTTAGTCTCCTTTCTTTGGCAGTTTGAATAAGTGTCCTTTCTTCCAATCAGCAGATACTTTGCCCTCTTTCCACACCTTCTTCAGTAGTGGTGTCATCAAGTCCGCTGATGTCTCTGGGTCCATTTTCAATGCTTCTGCAGGAATTCCGTCTAGTCCTACTGCTCTTAATTAGTTAACAACGGCTTACATCATTCCTGATTAATGTTACTCTTAGTTCCTCCCAATTAATCCTTGTCATAGTAGAAAAAGTATTTTAAAACCTTTTTATATCACTTATATTTCAGTTGTATTTTTCAGGAGGTTGTAGCCAGTCATTTGAGAAGAATTCTCGAAATAATAATAAAAGATTAGCTGATATTATCCTAGTACATATTTGTCATTCCTGCCTTATTCAAATACCTATTTTATTTCATCTTACAATTCTTGATATTTTTTATCACCTTTTCAATTTTACCTCCTTTTTTTCTTCTTTCCGACCATCACTAATGATTTCGCCATATGAAGTGTAACATCTCATGTTAATTATGCAGACATAGACGTTAGTGACTTAGCGGTCGAATGATGGCCAACCAGGCATGTGGTCGGGGGTTCGATCCCCGGCCGACGACTCAGTCCTTTACCTCGCTAAACTATCAATAAGACTGGTAAAGAGGGAAGGCTGGGCATGAGGCTACCAACCCCACCCCTTAAAATTAAACACTGCTACCCAGACTTCAAAGCTATGGCTTGAATCCCCCACTAGGAACACAAAGTAATAGAGAAATACACACATAGTTAGGTAGATAAGTCCACAATGTTATGAAGAAGGATGCTACTTCATATCATCTTATATAAAAATATTGTACATTACCATAGGAAAAAATGGGTGATTTTAACTTCGGCGCAATAGTTACAGACAGCTATATTCTCCTGAAGTATTTCAAACCTTAATTATTATTATCATCATTTTCTGTAAGGGAGTACTCACCAACCAGTCACATGGTTCGGAACTCATTCCCCCTACTCCCCGCCGACTGACGCACTAGCCGGTAGTAAACACAGTAAGACAGGAAGGATTGAGGGGAAATCTAGCAACCTCAAGCCGCAAAAACAACACCACTGTCACTGCAACTTCAAAGCTCAAGATCAAATACCTAATGTTTCACTGGGAACCCAAAGGAATGTAACAAATAATATAAGTATGCAAGTGTTGGTTTGTAGGGATTTGATTTAACTGGTTACAGGAGTTCATCATGCGCTGACATCGGTTAGAGAACCGGCTTGGAGCTTCCGGCTACTAGGTGAGCTGGTAGACCTTTGAGCCACTGGAACCCGATCCAATAGCCATTGTATGAATGCCAGCTTCCATCAGTTCAGGATATAGAGCAAACAGCACTAGCCAAAGTTATTATTGGTGGTGAGTATCTGTCCTCATACCCAACCTGCTGTACCCCTATGGTCACTATTTCCTATGGCATTGGCTAGTGCTAGTGATATATAGTGAATTGGTAGAAGTTAGAATTCATGGACCGGCTCGCCTTGTAGCCGGAACCTCCTAGATTGTAACTCTGGTGGTTGGTGCGTACTGCTGAATAGTCCCAAACTAGACTGACGAAACAGCTAGTTGTTCAGTACTTCCAGTTGGTTTTCTAATGGTTCTCTAACTAATATCAGCTTATTATGAACTCTTACTGCTAAATAAAATAAATATTATCATCACAAAGGTGTTAACTGGGTAACGCAGCCATCTGCTTAAATAACTTAGATTGAAAGTCAGTGACTTGATCGACTAACATCAAGACTTAATGTTACCACTCCTAAAGTTATTTCTGACTTGGTGCTATTTAGCTAACATTACTCGTTTAAGAATAAAGTGTCTCGGCAGGTGTGACATATATCTTGAAAATCACATTCAGTGAAGATTCCCAACGATATGCTTTATTTTAATAATAACTACACATGAATAAGCACTTCAGCGCAATAAATCTATGCCTGAACATGTGCAATCTTTTCATATTTTGAGCATCGATTAAGCTTGTCTTCTAGATGAAAAGTAGAAAAGAGAGGACAGGAGGTATCTCTGTCATCCATTCACAAAACAAACCTGTTAAGGCTAAAAATATCCTCTTTACCAGCTTTATTACCGGCTTAGCGAGGTAAAGGAGTGCGTCGGCCGGGGATCGAACCCCGGATCATGTGTATGGTCGGCGAGCGTCCCAACCGCTGTGCCACCGACGCACAGGATAGTAATAATAATCATAATAAAATATATAATTTTATTGTTTCCATTTATTTTAGCCACCAAAACAATTAAAAAAGTTGTTAAACCCTCAGAAATATATTTGAAAAAAATTGAAAAATTAACAAAAACTGACGATAAATATTTAGATATCCATGCAAACCAACTGAAATCAGATAATTCAGCGTATAACGACTTTTTTGCCTTATTTGAACATTGGTATCATAAAAATTCGCGTCGATATATGCGTTATCTATCTATCTATGGTCGTGATTTCATAACAAAAGTTGAATTTAAATTAGCGCTAAAAGATTTACGTGTACCGTTCAATAATACACAAATACATATTATCTATAAATGGTTAGATCCAGAAAATACCGGTCTAGTTGAATATAGTACATTGTATGAAGCATTTTGTCGTGCACTGGCTAAATATTACACCGATGAAGATGAAGTGAACACAATGGATTTAGAAGATACAGAAAAATGGATTGTAATGACATTTAAAGCACCGACATACGACCCACTGGATATGCCAACATCATTTGAACAATTAATTCATTTGGGTTATACTGGGAATATGTTACGTCAATTGATTCATTTGAAAGTACCTCAACTGCCATCGCATACCTTAGTTCTATTTACTGATCCAGCACATTATAATGAAACAATAATACATTGTAATCAAAAGCTGTATGATTTCGATTTTATTGGTGGTTCAAAGATTACACCGACTGAGGGGACTATCTACTATGAATATTCAGTTGGTTATGTAGATGCACCATTGCTGTTATGTAATCGGGAGATGAATGAAATCAATCTATTGTCTTACATGGCTAATCAACAATTGCAAACATCACAACAGGATATGGAGCAGCAATCGATTGATAATCAAAATATTGATAAAAAAAGTAGAGCTGAACAGTCACGTGAAAGATTTGAATCATACGCGACAAATTAAAACAACAGAAAAATACATATATACATGCATATATGATTACTGTTGAATATTCAACATTGATAGATGATTCAAAATTCAATGGAAATATTCATTTCCAGACAACCTTTCGAAAAAAAATTCGAAAATATGTGTATGCATATATACATTCACATGTCAAAAAGAAAGTATTTGACTTTATGCTTGATTTCTAATGTGAATTTTATTATTATTTTTCTTCGCATCTTTTATTTATGGAATAGATAAGAACAAGAAGTTCAACAAACAGGTGTATTTTCGGCGATTTCGTTCTCAAAAGCACAGCTGTACGATCGCATTTATACAAACATAAGTTGTTTTTGATGTAGTTGTGTTCTCTGAGCTACCTGGATGTTTTATTCATAAAGCTTTCATTGACCCATACTAGGCAACATCTTCAGTGCATACTTCAATTTGAATTGAAGTGAGCTCTTAGATTCCTCCACGAGTTTATTAGTCATCTCTCCTGGTCACCTTGAACATGAATGGTATTGGTACTGATTGTTTTCTTGATTTGAAGTTTGACTCTTTGTGTGTGAGATTTCCGTCTTATTGATCCATAGATCTTCTCTGAGTTAATGTGTCTATTGATTGACGACTCACTGGAATTCCAGGCTTCTGAACATTCCCTGGCGTTCTTGGTGTTTCCTCTGTATAACATTTGAACGTTGTCCCAGTCCCATCGATGTCCGTGGTTGTCTGTATGCAGTGATACGGGCGAGAAAGTGAATGTCATGTCTTTTGACGGCTAGTTTGTGATCATGGGTAAGAAGATGAAAGGGACGTCCACTTTGGCCAATGTATTGTTTTCGCTGCAATAAACACCAAGAATGTTTGAGAATTTTTAGAAAGCTGCCTGATATTCCCATGAATCGTCAATCAATAGATACATCGACATAGACAAAATGTACCAACCGATAAGAAGGAAATCTCACACACAAAGTGTCAAACTTCAAATCAAGGAAACAATCAGTTCCAATACAAGTAGCCTAAAAGGTGTGGAAACACCCAAAGACAGCCAATCACGTCCAAGGTCACCCAATAGGAGAGATGACTAATAAACTCGTGGAGAAGTCTAAAGGTTCACTTCAATTCAAATTGAAGTATGCACTGAAGATGTTGCCTAGAAGGGGCCAATGAAAGCTTCGTAACTAAACCATCTAGCCTGCTTAGAGAACACAACTACGTCAAAATCATCCACCTGAGCTACAAATCTTCTCCATCATATACACATAATTTTACACAGACACATAATAACGAAGGAGGAGATTAAAGGTGGCAATAATTTTCAACTTTTAGTGCTGAATTCGTGACCGGTGGAGTACAGCAGGTCGGTTGTGAGGACGGATACTCACCACCAATGATATTCACTAGTAGTCACTCTATATCCTGAATTGGCAGAAGCTGCAATTCATGGAATGTTTATTGGATCGGGTCCCAGTGGCCTAATGGTCTATGAGCTAGTTCACTTTGTAACCCGAAGGTCTTGACTTTGGACCCTGGAGGTTGTTACATACTGCTGAATAGTCCCAAACTAGGTTGACGAAGCAGCTGACTGTCCAATACTCCCTGAGGGTTTTCCAATGGTTCTCTAACCGACATCACCTGATGATGAAGCCATGTAACCAGCGAAATCCCTGCAAACCAAAACTTGAATTTTCAAATTGATATGAAAGTCTGAAGGCCTGAATATAGAGTACAAGACGCTAAGAAACAAAATTACACATGATTAGAAAATAGTTTCTTATTACGAAAAGTAGTTCTTAACGAAGACTGGTGTGAACGGAAGGAACATGGAGACAGATTGAAATCATAGTTTTCATAACTGAAAATGAAAAGACAAAATATGAAGGGAATGGAAGCACGAAATAATAACGAAAACTCAGGATTGAAACCGAACCAGGTCTCTGAAACCCATAGCTCCGGCTTTTCGATACATATGGCCAAGGCTCCTATAGTAGCACGAAGAAGACGGAAACACACTGACTGCCTTTGGTAGACTTTTGTTTACTTTGTAAATGACTCTGAATGATGGATGGATGAGTCAGATGAAATGCTGTGACCGAGTGTGTTGATGAGGTATTCAATCATGGTGCTTCTGATTGAACAAGTACCTCCTCTTTGCAGTCATGCTGGGTGATGCTCTCTAACTACGTTTCGAGTGGATCTATATACCTAGCTATGTGAGAGCAGGTGAATTGATAAATGTTCATTGGAGAGTGGTTATATGCGGGAGTTTGTCTCTAACACTGTTTAGAAGCAGTGGGAGAGAGCTAGCATATATCATTCTTAATGTTGCTGCAGGAAAGATCTTCTTTAGGGATCTATGTGTGTATATGTATATAAGTGCGATTGTTCAGCTGATTTTGAGGATGAAATTGCCAAAAAATATCTTCGTTGAGATTATTGTTCCTTTTTCAAAATGGATACCCGACATGTTTCGTGGGGAACATAAATTAAAATCGCATGCGAAACATTCGTAGATTTGGCACGCAATTCGCTCCCGCCAAATGCAAGATGATGTTACAGGATTGGACTACACCGACTCCTAGATTAGAAATAGGAAGTGAAGTGGTAGAGCACGTTGACCGCTTCACTTACTTGGGAAGTACCATCAGCCCCAACGGGTTGATCTTTGACGAAATCTCAGCACGGATACAGAGGGCTAGTTTCGCATATGCCAGTTTACGCCGTCTCTGGTGTAGACGTGATATCCGACTATCGACCAAAGGGCGTGTGTACTGCTCAGCAGTCCGCTCCGTCCTCCTTTATGGCTGTGAGACATGGCCATTGAGAGCAGAAGACATGAAAAGATTAGCTGTCTTTGATCATAGGTGTCTGCTTCCTATCACCCGTATAAAGTAGCATAATAAGGTGAGTAATATTGAGGTTAGGCGTCAAGTGCTAGGTAAGGAGGGGAAATCAGTCGACGAGACTGTGAAATTACATCGACTGAGATGGTTAGGACATGTGTTACGTATGCCTAGTCATCGCCTTCCTCGACGGGCAATCTTAGCTGACATAGGGTCAGGTTGGAAAAGAGCCAGCGGAGGCCAAACTAAAACATGGCTTCATCAGTCAGTGGAATCCACAACAGCTAGTTCAAGCCACGTAGGAATGTGTAAACTTCTTGACTGGTTGGGGTCCTCGGGACGGTAAAAACCAATGGCTGGAAACAATTGGTGATGTGGCTCAAAATCGTTGTCAATGGCTGACGCAGATGCATCCACTCCTTGTGACATGATTTCCAATGAAACTGTTTTGTTCTTCGTTATTACTATTCCTTTGTCTCACACCTCTGTTTACTGTCTCTAATATGCATTTCTCCTAGTTTCTTCTCTTGCTTTGTGCGCTACATGGAGGGAGTGTGGCAAGTTGAACTGCCGCACATCAGTGCAAAGTTCTATGTCGAAAACAGACAGAGAGACAGGGGAACATAAATCAAAGTCAAAAAGAGGAGAATGCACTTCAGTCCTTAAGAAAATACTGTTTATGAATCTGAACTTCAGGGGAGGTTTAGCGGTAGATATACTTAAATGGAGAATCTCTAGTCCCATTTATCTAGTAGCATTTATCAATTCACCTGCTCTCACATAGCTAGGTATATAGATCCACTCGAAACGTAGTTAGAGAGCATCACCCAGCATGACTGCAAAGAGGAGGTACTTGTTCAATCAGAAGCACCATGATTGAATACCTCATCAACACACTCGGTCACAGCATTTCATCTGACTCATCCATCCATCATTCAGAGTCATTTACAAAGTAAACAAAAGTCTACCAAAGGCAGTCAGTGTGTTTCCGTCTTCTTCGTGCTACTATAGGAGCCTTGGCCATATGTATCGAAAAGCCGGAGCTATGGGTTTCAGAGATCTGGTTCGGTTTCATTCCTTAGTTTTCGTTTTTATTTTGTGCTTCCATTCCCTTCATATTTTGGTTATTCTTTTTCAGTTATGAGAACTATCACTTATATCTGCTTTCGCGTTTGTGTCCTTCAGACCAGTCTTCGTTAGGAAACTATTTTTCCTAATACGCAACTATTTTCTAATCCAGTGTAATTTGGATTCTAAGCCCCCTGGACTCTGCATTCATACCTTCAATTTGAAAATTATCCTCACTTTTAATTTACCCTATCGTTATTATGTGGAACCAAATAAGAATATTTGTATCTGTGTAAACTTTTGTGTATGCAAATGCGATTGTACTGCTGTGCTTTTGAGAATGGAACCGTCGAAAAGAAACGAGTACAGAGAACTAAACATATGTTTCGTCTTCGTTTGACATTCTTCAGCATCACATCACAACCATGACCCATGCGGGTTACGTACTCAGCAAGGTTTACTTTATCAGGTGAGAAAGTTGACTATTGAGTGACCCAAGAATTCTAATTCCATTTTATTCCCAGTATACGCTCACAGACATCGAATACCACTAGGGTTGGCCACCCCTCCGCACACCTCTTGAAATGCTCCCATATGACCAGGCGTCTTACATAGCCTCTCCTGAGGAAGTCCTACTCACTGCCTTCACATGGCGGAGGTGTTTTTCACCAAAGTGAGAGGGCGAAAGCGGATGCCCGGCGCTCTTCACCGGGTTGACTGTCCATTGGATGACAGTCTAGGGGAGATGGCTAAACCCTGATTCCAAACCTCCAACGACTGGCGTATGAAGCTCACTGGAGCTCACCGGCAGACGTATGGGCAAAGGGCTTGTTGGATGTCTGGCCCCATTCAAAAAGGCGTATGAACCGAACTCCGGTCACCGGCTGCCAATGGATAGTGGACTCCCTACTGCCTTGTAGGTCACACTTGGTTGTGTAAAGGCTAGAGCTGCACTCTCAAACAAAAGGCTGAGCGATTCTGGGGACATCACTCGTACCAAATTCCCATAAAACTTCTTGAACTCTCTTCATCAGACCGCCGCGCCTGGGCAGCGATGATTCGAGATGTTCATGAAGCCGGCTCATCCTTCCGTAGGAGATAGCC